CTTTAATGTACCTTCACATGGAGAGAGATAGAGAGAAAAAAACACTTTTTTCAGTGGGCCTCATCTGAAATAACCCCAATTAGCACATCTTGGGTGGGATAGTTTTTTTGGGTGGGTTATTTCCAAATAGCCCTAAAATAGCTCACCCTTTTAGATCTTTTTAGGCTGTTTAGGCTATTTGAGGGAGGGTTAAAAAATATTCCTCAATTCAAACAGGGCCGGAGTAGTATATCAACTGGACATTGGATATTGATGATCCAACATTCCAACGGGCATGGAAAAAGTGATCCCTGGGGAATACAATTGACAGTGGACACAACATATATTAAAATATTAATTCCTACTAGTTAAATAGGAGAGAAAAATGACATGAAAGACCAAAAAAAAATCCCTAAACCCACTTGGCATATTCGTTTTGAAGGATTCCTAAAGGAAACTCAATTCCTTTGGAATAAGCACTATTCATTCATTCGGTTTCTAGGATTCAAAGGAAAATTTTTCATAGGAACACTATGCCAATCCTCCACAAATCCTCCAAATGTACTAATTCCATAGGAATAAAAACATTCACTCCATCCTCTTTTGTTTAGCTAAATGTAGGAAAAATTCATGTGTTCCAATCCTTTGTTTTGTACGTGCATTCCTACATTATTCCTACGTTTTTTCTATTTCTGTGATTTGAAAATCCTGTGAACTGAATAGTCTCTAGAATTGGGATCAGGTGCAGTCACAACGTTAGCAACTGCACACAACGTGGAGCGTCCATTTTTATAATCAACGGTCCAAATCTAAAGCTACAGTAGCTATGTGAACAGTATCCTGCGCTACAGTAGCTGCTCGATCCAGGCCGTTCGATATGTATCCGACGATGAAACTGCACCTGATCCAAATCCTAGTCTCTAATATCTCATCTCTCCGCCCGCTGCACGCGTTCGGTCTTCAGTGGCGACTGGCGAGGACGCCCGCCCACCCATGATGCCGACGTGGCCTCGCATTTGAATTAACCTGTACCAGTTTTCACCTAACCGACTCCGAATTGTTTCTTTTATATTAACACATGCAGTGTTGTAATTACAAATCTGAGCACATGGTACATCGAACTAAATCAATGGTGAGGGAGATTAAGGTCCCATCGTTTTGTTTATTTGGAAATAAGACAAATATCATATTTGCAAACGAGAAATAATTTATGAATAAAATTTTTATATACATGTTCTTAATAATGATTTAAAAGCAAAAACTGAAATTAAAATAAACTTCGATGAAAAAAAATCCCAAAATCAACTTCAAATTCAAGGTTAAAAATTTAAATTTTGGCTGATAAGTATAAATATAAGCGAAAAAGATGAGACTGTAAGCTCGTCACAACCTTCGGAGGGGAACCTGAAGCTTAAACTTTGATGATTCCTACCAGGAAGTTGGAAGCAACGAAAGTTGGAGGATGGGGTTTTGTGGGACGTGATCATAGTGGATGCTGTATGCTTTGCTGGGACAGGACGAATGGAACCAGTACATGATGCATTGTGTGCCGAAGCTGAACCATGCATGCCTCGCTGTGCCAGTACTACCAGCCCTTATAGTTGATATTGGAATTGAATCCGATTCGGCATTGCTGGTCACGGCGCTGAAAAAGCAGGAGTCAGGACTATGATCAAGCAACGGGCAACCCTATTTTCCGAGAAATAAAAGCTTCTCATCTAGGTATGTTTAGTTCATGCTAAAATTGGAAGTTTGGAAGAAATTAGAACGATGTGACGGAAAAGTTTGAAGTTTATGTGTGTAGAAAAGTTTTGATGTGGTGGAAAAGTTGAAAGTTTAAAGAAAAACTTTGCAACTAAACACGGCCCCAGTTAGAGTTTTCAGGGTTGATATCTCTTTTATTTCTAGATCTTTGTAATTTGTGTGCTCATAATTTAGCCCAAGTGGGAAGGAGCTGGGACCTGGGTCAATCTGCTATATGGTTGGACCCCCTCCCAGAGTTTGTAAATGGCTGGGTGGCTTGTGATATTGCTGAGCCAAGTGGTTAATAAAGACAGAATAGCGCAGCCGTTTTGGCTCGCAATAAAGCTAGGGTCCTGATCGAGCAAGACTACATCCTATATATGATTAGAAAAATTCCGAAACGAAGAAATGGTTAAAGGTAAAAAAAAGGTACCACTGCTGGCACTAGAGTGGAAGAGAAACAATATGACAAGTGGGTCTAGTTGTATTTTTTTACTTTCACGTTGTTTCTCTCTTCTATTTTATTAACTAGAAATTAATATTTTAATAGGTATGATGTCTAGCAGTAAATTACCATATTTTGATAATGTATTTCCCCAAAGATTGATTTTTCTATGTCCAACAGGTAAAATCGCGAAATCGCGGTGTCATATAGCAAATTTTGTCTTTTTTAACAGGCAACAGATGTTTCATTCAATAGAGCGAAAAAAATGACAACTCTAAAACCCTAAAAAGTTGTATTTGGAAAAACAAAAATAGATACACCACCACCACCACACACCGACGTCGCCTGCACACACAGCTGAGGAAAGGACTAGCGCTAGACCGGTAATAGCTAAGCGTACGTGACCAGCCGCCGCTAGCATAAGGAGCTACAACCATACCACCCAACACCGAGAGGGTGGGAGCAAAAAAAGATCCCTCTCCTGTGCATGGACCCGTCAACCTACCTCCATTTAAGAGCTTCACACAGAACCGTGTGAAGCGGGATTTGGTGATAATGGGTCCTCCTAGATGATGTCTCTAAGGAGAATACAACATAGGGAGCACCACCACCGTCCCTCCTGGTCTCTAGGAGACTCCAAGTATTTCATCATGATGTCCTGTTAGGAAGGGAGAGGTGTCTTGACAATGCTCCCAAGACGGAAAATGACTCCCAAAGGCATCATCATTGTCGCCCCAACAAGACCGTTCTAGATTTTCACATGTCGGCCACCCTGATGTTCTGCTGCTCCAAGCTCCACAACCAGCCTCCCACCATTAGCACGTAAACACCATTGTACCAACAACCCCCCTCCTGCCTCCACATGCTAGTGTTGCAAATGCATCACACTGACAGCATCTTAGGCCTACCACCAAAAGAAATCATTTTAGCTAGATCTTCCAAGGGGATAGGCACACCCACCCTTCCTCAACATTGATCTAGTGCACGGCGTCGTCAGCCCCGCCTCCTCCACCAACCCTTCTGTCACGCTAGCTACGGAAGAGAGTGCACCATCCAACATCTCACCAAGGGTCTAGAGGGTGCAGCATCACCCCATCGCCTCCTCGCCTTGCCACTGGTCGCACATTGCCTTTGAGCCTCCAAGATGTTCGCCTCATTTCCATGTCCATATTCCACTGCCTCGCCTCCAAGGCTACCCACTCTACATCCTGCTGCCTCATCATTGCCGCTCTCAACCCCGATGCCGGGGTGATGGATTCGACCATGAGTGCGATGAATCGGGTGCGTCGATGTCAGATCTAGCCACATACGACCCGCACCCTCTTCCAGCTTAAGGGTTGTGGTGGCCACCCAACTCGGCTTAGAGAAGCCTTGCCGTTGTCTTCACTATGGCTGCACGGATTTTCATTGGCTCGCTTGGATAATGGTGAAGCGGGAAGTGGTCAGAAAGAAGGAGAAGAGATGGGGGGTGGCGTTTGTGGGTTTTGCTCGTGTTGCCTCCAGAGACAACGTGGGGTATGGGTGGTTGCTCAGACAGATGTTTAAGGTACAGGTGCCAGCTTGATAAATACTAGCCTCACTGGAAGAATAAAATTAAATGCAACACATTGGATGCATCACAAATTCATAATACCGACGTAACTTTAAAAGTATGACATGCAAGCACACAACAAACTAAGAGTGCTCTTAAATTAACGAGGCCCACTCACAGATCATCAAACCTTGTATTATTATTGCACCAATATGTTGAATATTTCCAAAAAATGTAATGTAATTCCATTATATTAAAAAACTTGAATTTTAAGTTACAATTACATCAATATCTTGGTTTATACGTCATTTCTTTTACATGAGACATAAATTGGATTGGATGTATGAAAATTCGTACATTTAAATTTATTTCAAGAATTGGTTACCCCACTCATAGATCATCAAACCTACTGTTGTTACATAAAGATCTTGAATGTTATGGTGTCTGGTTAAAAACATATTGGTTTAGATGTCCTTCCTTTCAAACAAGAAGAAGAAACATAAATCTGATTGGAGTGTGGAAAATCGTGCATTTAAATTTATTTCAAAATAATACTACTTTCATATATAATACTAGCCGAGTTTCTAAAAGTAATTTGCAATAGAAATTAACGATAAAGTTGTAGTTCGAAAACCATCTAAATATCTAAAACCACGTGTTTTATGATCACGAGGTGTGACTTTTTATACTACTGGCTAGTACTAGTAACATGCACCATGCAGCCACATGGACAAGGTTTTTTACTACACTAGTGTCTAGTGCATTCGCACCAGTCATTTGCATAACTTAAATACCTATAGAAAAAATGAAAATAAATTGGTAATAATTATTAGGATGATATAAGTCGATAAAAATATATGAGAGTAAATTCAATCTATAATTATATAGACCAAAATAATAAACTCGGACCGTAAATAGGATTTGCTATTTTTATGTAAATTCATTCGATAATTATATAGATAAAATTAATAAACTCGGACCGTAAATAGGATTGCTATTTTTATTTTATTTATCTACTAGAAAAAAATGCTCGTGCGTTGCAATTGGAGAATATTATTTTAATCTTATTATTGTTATATTGGTTAATTAAGGTGAAATTCACTTTGTTAAATTCGCTTGGATATATTTTTCGTTAGAAAGTCATGAGCTGCAATTAGGAGTCCGATTAGCATGTGAGTTTTTCTTAAAGAGATTTCTTATACGATTCCTTCTATATTTTCAAAAGCGAATAAACTTAAAAACTGACTCATACACGGATGGATGATGTACCAAAGTATCGGCAAAAACATCTTCAATTTTTATAATAGCAGAGAAGAGATAGATCGAATTTAGATTTATATGTTTACAGAGTGATTTAATCATCATGATATATCTTGTTAAATCTTATCAATTTTTTCACAACTACTTATCACACATTTACACGCATACACTTGGCCACTTAGGTGTAAAAGAACAGCCATATATACTGGCAGGCAATGCAGGCTACATCTCTCAACACCCAAAGCTTGTCTTTGTCGCGAACACAAGCTACCCCAACTCCGGCCATGGCGCGCCAGCACTTCCTCGTCGTCGCGTACCCTGGCCAGGGCCACATCAACCCGGCCCGAGCCCTCGCCGCGCGCCTCGCCCGCGCCACCGGCGCGCACGTCACCCTGTCCGTCGCCGTGTCGGCGCACCGGCGCATGTTCCCGTCCCTCGCCGCCCCCGACGAGGAGGTCCACGACGCCGACGCCGGCGGCGGCGGGATCTCCTACGTCCCGTACTCCGACGGCTACGACGAAGGGTTCCGGCTGTTCGCCAGCGACGGCGAGGCGGCGTGGCGGCACTCGGAGACGTTCGGGCGCGTCGGCCGCGAGGCGTTCGCCGGCGTGGTGGACCGCCTCGCCGCGCGCGGCCGCCCCGCGACGTGCGTCGTGTACGCGTTCCTGATGTGGTGGGCGGCCGACGTCGCGCGCGAGCGCGGCATCCCGCGGGTGCTCTACTGGATCCAGCCGGCGACCATGCTCGCCGTGTACTACCACTACCTCCACGGGCTCGAGGAGCTCGTGACGGAGCACGCCGGCGAGCCGGAGTTCACGGTGGACATGCCGAGCCTCCCGCCGATGGCGATCCGCGACCTCCCCAGCTTCTTCACCGACCTCGCCGACACCAGGCTCGCCGCCGCGTTCCACGGCGTCCGGACGACGATCGAGCAGCTGGACATCGATCGCCGGAGCAGCAGCAAGCCGCCGATGGTGCTCGTCAACACCGTCGAGGAACTAGAGCTCGACGTCCTCGCCGCCTCCTTCCCTGACCTTGACATCCTACCCATCGGCCCGGCCGCCACCTCGCTCGACGGCGGCGGCGCAGCCGCCGCCGCCAGAGCGTCGCACGACCTGTACAGGCACGACGAGAAGGGCTACATGGAGTGGCTCGACGCGAAGCCGGCGGGGTCGGTGGTGTACGTGTCGTTCGGGAGCATGTCGGTGGTGAGCAGGCGGCAGAAGGAGGAGCTCCGGCGAGGCCTCGCCGCCACCGCGCGGCCGTACCTGTGGGTGGTGCGCAGCGACGACAGGGACGACGGCGACGGCGACGGCGACGGCGGCGGCATGGTGGTGGAGTGGTGCGACCAGGTGCGCGTGCTGTCGCACGGCGCCGTCGGGTGCTTCGTGACGCACTGCGGGTGGAACTCGACGCTGGAGGCCGTGGCGTGCGGCGCGCCGATGGTGGCGGTGCCGCAGTGGTCGGACCAGGACACGAACGCGCGGCTCGTCGCCGGGTGGGGCGTCGGCGTGCGCGCCGCCACCGGCGCCGACAGGGTGGTCGAGGCGGGCGAGCTCGCGAGGTGCGTGGAGACGGTCATGGCGGACACGGAGGCGGCTGCCGCCGTGCGCCGGAGCTCGGTGGCGTGGAAGGCGAAGGTGCGGGAGGCCGTCGCCGAGGGCGGCTCGTCGGATCGTAATTTGAAGGCTTTCTTGGACCGAATTGCAAATGTTGCGTAGATAATCCAATTCACCGTTCGTCAGGGATGATGATGATGTCTGGCTAAGTGTCAAAATGGCTAAGGTTGGCGTGTCATTTCAAGTGAATTAAAAAAAGGTAAAAGTACGTGACGACGATATATGGTTTTAATTTTGTAAAATGTTAGTAGCATATCCTATTAATATCGTGAATAATAATAATATTTTTTTAAATTGATTAAGTCACAATGGCATCGATCAAATTAACCTAAAAAATTAATCCTTTGACGTGAAAATGGAAATAATTTACAACCTCCGCGTAACGTGCACACAGGAGGGTTGTCGTTGTGCATGCGGGAAAAGTATTTTTTTTACATGTAGATGCAATCCAACATAGTGTATCTATGTCACCTATGTAATTAAATAAATATTTCATAAAATTTGACAAGGTAGATAAAGATGATATAAACCACTATGCAAACATGCACATCGAGAAAATAACAAGTTCTATTTGTGCTAGATAGGTACTGTTTACAGTCTAATTTTATTATTTTTGTTTTTCTGATTATATATTGATTTTAGGCTTGCTCGATTGTGTATAGACTTGTGCCATTGTGAACAATACTATCATTTTTTTCTTTCATATTTTTCCATATCTATTCAAGTCACATGTAAATGATTAGGTGGGATTGCACCTAGGTGAAAAAAAAAATCCATATCCTTAGTGACAGGTCTACACTCTGAAGTGAACACTCCAAGTCTCAAAGAGCAAGTTTAATACTCCTATGAGGGAATCAATGGGATCCCGGGTTTGTCACTTTGTCTTTCACATGATCACATCACCATTGGCAATTTGGCATTGAGTGTTGCTTGCTATACAGGCAACAGTGTTGTTCATTAATGTAGTATTGGTTTGCAATTGCATGGACAAGTTTTGTATTTCACATGATCACATCACTATTGGCAATTTGGCATTGAGTGTTGTTTGTTAGCAGCAACACCGTTGTTCATTGTAGTATTGGTTTAATTTGCAGTTGCATGCACAAGGACATGGATTTCTTGTTATGGTGTGGGATCCCATTAATTCCCTCGTAGGAGTATTAAACTTGCTCTTGTAGACTTGGGGTGCTCATTTCAGGGCGTAGACATGTCATTAATCCATGATAGCCACGCTCACACATAATTGGGAACCTACAGTGACATCTATCTATGCAAGTACGCAGCTAATGCCTCAGGAACTTGGCTGCAGTTGAACCCTTGTTAGCTTTCTGGCTCCGAGTACGTAATGGAGGTTGATAGATCTCTGGATGATATGAAGGTATTTAGTTTATCAGTGAGATGAATGCTGTGGGCACTTAAAAAGTGATATGAATGTTGTGGGCACTATAAAGGAATCAATGAGAATTATCTACAGTACCATTAGTATAATAACAGACACTGAGACCATAAGACGTACACCTGAACTACTGCTACTATATCATGAGCACTAAAGAGGGTCTGCATCCGAAAGGAATACAAATATATAGTAACGCCTTTATAGTTCCCCATCCGAAAGGAACGCATGGTGGGGCGTCAGCGTGTGTGCCGTCACCGGCGCCGACAGGGTGCTCGAGACGGGCAAGCTCGCGAGGTGCGTGGAGACGGTCATGGTGGAGACAGAGGCGGCCGGCCACCGTCGTTCGCCGGAGCTCGGCAGTGTGGAAGATGAAGCTCCGTGGTCGAGGGTGGCTTGTGGCACTACTAAAAAATGATTATTCCTGGCTCCACCTTATTTTCTTTTGGCGGACAAAATAAGAAACTCTTGTAAAAAGGGCAATCAGAGGTCCCTGATTAGAAACCGCTTGTGAAAATTTACTTTTACAAGCGATCATCTTAAAAGGGCCACTTGTAAAAATAACACGATTTTTACTGGCGGATGGCTAAGAGCCTAAGAGCGGTTCTCGTAGCCAGTCGCTATAAAAAATAAATCTCAGGCGCTAAAAAAACACATTCCTCCTCTCAACCGTATGTCTTATCCTTATCCTCAGCCTCTCTTCCCTTGCTCCCTCTTCCCTCCTTTCCTAGCGGCGGCGCACCCAGGGCGTTGAGGGCCACTGGCGGCAAACTCGAGCATGGGCCACTGGCGGTAGATCTCGAGCGCGGGCCGCGGGGTCGTGGGCTACGGGCGGCGGACTCAAGCCCGGGCCAGCGGCGGCAGTGGCCACTCTCCCAACTCCTCCCAGATCTGGCTGGAGGAAAATTGGATGAGACCAACAGCAGGGTGGGGGAATGGGGAAGCGTCCTGGTGGCACGGTGGGTGCTGTGGAGGAGGCCCGACAACACGGTGGAGATGGGGAGGAGGCTAGCGGCAGCGAGGTCAAGATCTGGTAGTAACAGGGCATGTCTGTGGCAGTGGCGAAGGGATGCAGCAGTGGGGCTAGGAGGGCTCGCCGACGGCAACGGTGCGGGGAGAGGGTGGCTGCCCTGTCCAGATTCAAGGGGTGGCACGTCGGCAGTAGTGGGGGGAGGGCAGCGACATCTAGATCTAATGGGGCTCGTCGTCTTCGGCTCTTCAGATCCGGCCACCTCGGCAGAGCAACAATGCCGGCAAAGGCGGTGCAGCAATGGAGACGACGGCCTCGGCTTGATTCCCCTCACTTCTTGAGCTGTTGATCTGTGATGCTGTTGTCCATTGAGCTGTGATGATATGCTGTTCTTATTTTTATGCCAAAAGAAGTTTGTCGGCCTGAAAATTTAGGTTTTTTAGGTGGGTGACTTACAGAACGGTTCTAAAATTTTGATTTTCACTGACCTTTAATCGTAGGCAGAGCGGTTGGTCGCCTGCAAAAATCAATTTTCGGCCATAGGCGAAAATGATTTTTTAGTAGCGTGGGATCATAATTTGAAGGCTTTCTTGGACCGAATTACAAATGTTGCGTAGATAGTCCAATTCAGCTCTCGTCAGGCGTGATGTCAGGTCTACTGGAGTGTCAAAGCGTCAAAACAGCTCAGGCTGGAGTGTCATTTATAAGGGTTATCCTTGAGGGAGGCGATGATCCTCATAGCAAATACAAATCTGAGAAGATTTTGATGTTGCCCTCTTCCTTCACCTTCCCCTGGTTGTCTCTCTCCCCTTCTCTGGCTTATATAGGCGTAACAGCATGGGTGGAACAACAGCAGCAATAGAGCAAGATTGTTCGGGAAAATAAGTGGTGAAAAAGTGGAATGTTCACGTCATCACGAGTAAAAATTTTACTCACAGATTTACTCATAAGTACTCATGGTAGCGTAGACGAATCTCAGACGTCTATTTTTCGATCCAACAATTGTATCTAAGTTTCACTAATTTAAACTACATATTTTCATGTGTAACACGAGGAGAAGACGAGAAGAGACGTATGTGGGTTTGAGATGGATGGATAGAGTAGAAAAGTACCTCGTTTTTCACACGCACGCTTACTAAACTACTAAATGGTACTTTTTATAATTTTTTTATATAAGAAAGTTGCTTAAAAATCGTATTAATTCATTTTTAATTTATAATAGTTAATAATCAGCTAATCATATGCTAATAGCTCACTTCGTTTTACGTATCTTCTTAATCCTATCTTTTTCCTCTTCTCTCGAACACAGGTGAATAGTTAGAAGATAGATATCTCTTTTCCTCTTTTATCTCTTCTGTTTTTTTATACTAGAAAAATGCCCGTGCATTGCAATGGGTGAAGGATATTGTAATCTTATTATTGTTATACGGTTTAGCTAGGGTGAAATTCACTATGGGGATTCACTATGGGTGAAATTTAGCCGGGTCAAAATTACTGGGATAGGGAAAAGTATATCCGAGATCCCTTATCTTTTCACCGAATTACAAAATCGTCCCTAAATCAAAAAATCGGATATATGACATCACCCAAGATCCTTAGGCAATATTGACTCTGGTTGACCCTGTTTTGTCCGACGTGGCAGCTGAGTCAGCATGAGACCCACATGTCAGTGAGACCTCATGTTCCCCCATCTCTTCCATCGATCGCATCGAAGCCGCACGGCCGCGATCACCGTCGATGCCTCGAAGCTTTGCCATCACGCCCATGCAAAGTCCTGAAGCCGCCGCGCCTTGGTGTCGCACACCGTCGTCACGACGTGCGCCATCGCGAGCCCAACCTCCTCCTCGTCGTACTAGTCGCCGGCGCTGGCGCTTGCCCCTGAGAAATGCTGCTGCTAAATATAAACACGGGCAACAGAACCACCTCGTCTTCCTCGCCTCTCCACTCCCCTACCCTCTCCGACGATGAGGTCGGGCCGGCATGGTCCGCTGCTGAGCGGATCTGGCTGCTCCTTGAGGAGCGACGTGGCCGGCGAGCTCTGGCCGACACGGATCGAGGGGGTGGCGTGACCGACGAGCTTCGACCGGAGTAGACCGAGGGGCGGCACGGCCTAGGCACGGGGTGACGGCGTTGGACGTGGAGCGGGGCGGCGACGCCGGATGTGGAGTGGGACGAGGAGATCGGGACAATACCGGCAAGCAACGAGCAGTTCAAGGCGACGCAACCTCCGCATCATCGTTGTTGTCCTCGAGATACACTTGGGATGTCGCTCCACAATCGACCAACCTCGCTCCCATCCTCGTCGCCGGCATGCCTCCATCTCGCGGTGAATATGGGATCGGGGGCAAGCGCGCGCTAAGGAACAATGGAGAAACCACTTGCTCCATGGCACAGCGGCGACGCTCTCTCCTCATCCTACGCGTCCTTGATTTTGCCAAAGAACTCGTGACCTTTTTTGAACGCGAGGTCTTCAGGTTGGTGAGCCCTATTGTTTGGCTTATTCACGGATAATGACATATTTGCAAATGAAAAGAAATTTGTGAATAAAACTTGTATATACGTTTTCATAGTGATCTAAAAGTAAATGCTGAAAAATAAACTTCATTGAAAAAAACCGTTAAAAATTCAATTTTTGGATGATAAGCAGTATAAGCGAAAAGATAAGACCGGTTAAAAATTCAAATTAGCTGATTAGCAACCTAAGCGAAAAGATGATACCAGTAGATTCTCCTCGCTTCACCGACGTGGATCGTTTGGGCTGAATGCCAACCCATTGCACTGTGAACGCCCTAGCTGTCAGTCTCGTGAGGACAATCTACACTTGTTTGTATTTCTTGTAGTCTTCCACAAAAAATATCTTGTTTGTTTTTGACCGTTCACATAGAGTTGGATCGTGATGATCTTTATTTTGGTTTGGATTTTTGTGTGTCTCAGCCAATTGTCGCTTTCAATGTGTTTCGCTTTGGTTATGCCTACCTGTACTGCTTATTAATAATAGTATAATTTATAGGTATACGTCCCTTTTAACGATTCAAAAGCAAATATTTATGAATATACTTACAATGAAAAAAAAAATCGACCATGAAATTACATCTTAAAATTTAAATTTTATCTTATAAGCACATGTATAAGCAAAACCATAAATCTTGACTTGTGCTATATGCTTCTTCCGTCTCTAAATATTTGACGCCGTTGACTTTTTTAAACATGTTTGATTGTTCGTCTTATTTAAAAAAATTTAAGTAATTATTAATTATTTTCCTATCATTTGATTCATTGTTAAATATAATTTTATGTATACATATAGTTTTATATATTTCACAAAAGTTTTTAAATAAGACGAATAGTCAAACATGTTTAAAAAGTCAACGGCGTCAAATATTTAGGGACGGAGGGAGTATATATTACTATTAAAGTAGCCGACGGATATTTTTATTATTGAAGTTTGGACGACCCAGAGAATCAGAAGAAACAGCGAGCAAGTAGATTTGTCAGCTATTGAGCTGGCCTAAATTTAACATGTCGAATGAACAACAGTGTTTTTCATTAGTCCCAACCAACCTCTCCATGTGGGGTATATTTTATTTTTCGCATGAATCAGGAGGGCAGCATTGAAAACTCTTAATAGTTATTAATTATCTCCTATAGTTCAGTTTTTATTAGTTATCTCAAGATGCTGGAGTAAGCATATGTATATAGGAAATTTAGAAGATCAGTCCTAAAAATGATTTTTTTATCATTAAACAAGGTACTCTTTCAGCTCCACATTATAAGATGTTTTGGACTCTTCATCTATCTTCTATCTTCTAGATTCCCTGATATCCATATAAATATGAATTTGGACACATATATGAAATATATACATGGATCAATGTGTAAATATATTTAAAACCCAAAATATCTTATAATTTGAAACAGATGAAATAGCACATAAGCAAGGATACTCCTAATGGGCAGGTGATCGCTCCTTCCCCTCCCAAGCGATCACCCGCCCTTCTCCCTTACTACTTTACCTCCCCTTCTTCTCTTACTACTACACCATACAAATTTGAATTAAAATTCAAATTTAAAATGGGTATGTAAACTTTTTACTTATAAATTTTGGGTCTATAAACTAATATTTGAATTCAAATTTAAATTCAAATTTGAAATGGGTATGTAAACTTTTGACCTATAAACTTTGGGTCTATAAACTAATATTTGAATTTAAATTCAAATTTGAATCGGGTATGTAAACTTTTGACTTATAAACTTTGGGTCTATAAACTTTAGATGTATAGAAATATTATATATAGAAAATATTTGAATTCAAATTCAAATTTAAACGGATATAATTCAAATTCAAATTTGAATCGGGTATGTAAACTTTTGACTTATAAACTTTGGGTCTATAAATTTTAGGTATATAAACTTTAGATGCATAAAAATACTATATATAGAAAATATTTGAATGCAAATTCAAATTTGAATCCCGATATAATTCAAATTCAAATTTGAATCGGGTATGTAAACTTTTGACTTATAAACTTTGGGCCTATAAACTTTAGATGTATAGAAATACTATATATAAAAAAATATTTGAATTCAAATTCGAATTTGAAACGGATATATAAACTTTTGACTTATAAACTTTTGGTCTCTAAACTTTAGATGTGTAAATTTGAGGTGTATAAACTTTAGATGTGTAAACTTGAGGTGTATAAACTTTAGGTGCATAAATTTACTAAAATAGAAAAATAATGCGGTGCCAAAAAAGGAAACCAGGTGGAGGGAGGGAGGGGGAAGGGGGATCGATCGCTACCCTTGTCGCCGGGCGATCGATCGCTACCCTTGTCGCCGGGCGATCGATCGCCCATTAGCACTTCCGCATAAGCAAACCTAATGACGAGGGCAAAAAAAAAAAGGAATCAGCGGGGATTGTACGTAGTACTAGTGGGGCAATAACTGACACTGACGTATAGATCCAGACCCATATGTCAGCCACCTCTACTACACCATCAGTGCTATAGAGGATCTATATCTGAAAGGAATGCAACTGCAAGATGAGTGGTTGTGATGTGATCCATCTCTGCAATAATAGCTACAACTAATACAGATGACTGATGAAAAGAATTTCACCCGATAGTCATATAGGAAAACCGTGGAAATTTAACGGAAGTTTAACATTTAGTAAACATTAAGCTTAACTCTAGCTGATCCAGAAAATTCTATGCATTCCAAACATTATCCAAAGTGTTTTTGCAACTCATGAAAATGCATTTGGACCCATGAAATGATTTGCGAACGTAGCGAAACGATTGCCACGGTGCACTAAAAAAAAATGGTTGTCAACCTGCATAGATGGTATAACCAGTCAAGGATATTTCAGTATCATATACATCAGATTGGATTTCTGAAAAGCAATACATATAAATGGGATCTTCTTCAGGTGTCATTTGGTTTGATGATGTTTACGATTCCTTGGATGGTCATTGCTAAAATCCTGACCAAGGATGTACCTACGTCCAAGACCCAACGATCACACACTATAAAGTTGAACCTGTGAAGAAATCTCACTATTGAATTAGTTTTGAGTAAATTATCTAAGTGTGCAGCAGGCGCCATCAGGTCTATACTTTTAAAGTTGCTGCATTTGGCAGAAATTTTTTCTACTTTTTCCTCCTGCTGCTGGCTCCTTTTTCAGAAATGCAAGCTTCCACAGAGGCAACTAGACTTGCTTCCAGATCATGACCTCTTATCTCTGATCTCACTTTCCTCAGAATCTGTTGCTTCATGACTGATCTCTCAGCAGACTGGACGTTCTTGCACATGTTCAACCCCTGCACGTATCTTGATACCGCTCCACTGAAAGACCCACCTGCTTTCTCGAGTGCCACAAATTTCTCGATGATTTGGGACGAGAGCATTCTTTCGATGCAAGGTTTGGTTCCGACCACCGCAATGTCTACCAGAAGCTGCATTGTTAGTTCCTTTGTCTTTGAAGACTTGCGGTCAAGCAAGTTAACCAATTTTTCAATGGTTCCTGCTTGTAAAAATCTCTGTAATACAAGTGATCCCCCCTTCGCAAAGATAATCTGGTGAAGGGCATAGTATGCTGAATCCTGGAGATCGTTGATGTTGCACTGCATCATGTCAATTAGCTCATGAACAATGTTAGCCTCTAAGAACCTATGGACATATGGTTCCCCTCCAGTGCAGGCTAATTTCATCACCAGAAAAGCAGTGTGAGACCTCACTTGGTTGCTTTCAATGTCTCTCCGTTGCAGCAGCAGTGCCAACCCATTGGACATATTGCTTCCCAAAAGGAGATCTTGCACCCTTGAATCATTAGCCCTCTCAGCGAGAGGTAATAAACCTTGGATCGCCTCAATGTTATCTTTGTTGTCTCTGTGCAGTATCTTGTGAAGAATCAACTCAAAAGATTGTTGAGGCTTTGGTGATGGAGTTACATTTTGGTCAAATAAAACAAATCTCTCCAAACTGAGACGAGCATGCCAAGGCAAATGAGTCAACGCTCCAGGTCCCATGCACCCCTGAAGTGGCGCACCAAGTTCACAGAATGTTTTTAGCATGATAATCGCATGATGCTGTGAGATCTCAGAACCACTGCCTAGAAGAACAAGAAGCTTCTTGTCAATTCCTGATTCGATCATTGTCTCAACAGCCCTTAACTTTCCCACCTTTATCAAAGATGCTAGAGTTGTAAACACAATTTCATGCCATTCTTCATTCTCAGGAGAGAGTAATTTCGCAATTTGGTCCATAGGAATGGTTGCCAAAATTTCATCAGCAGTTGTAGCATCAACATGCTCAGATATCTTGGCAAGAACAGTAGAAACATTGGCTAGAGTAGAAGAATCTTCACAGCCACGAAGAACATGAATTAATTTATCCACAGAACCTGCTGTTTCAAGAGACTGAGCAAGCTTAGCATAATCTCCTTGGAAAAAGATTACTGTAATAGATTTGGTGACAGTAACAATGAGAGATGTTGACCCCACAGAAATTAACTCCGCTATTCGAGGACTAAGTATTTTGCTGAAGTGAAGCCTGCTAGCCTCAAATTCAGATATGGATTTGCATTCCATGAGAGCTTGGGTGGTGCTTCCTAGTAAAATCTCTATCTCCATGAACTCTAGCAAAGAAAATAATGATCTTATCTTCTGTTCAGCTCGCTCTTTTGCGCTCTCTTTGCCAAAAATGAAAAGCCAAGGAGACACCAATGCAGCATATTCAGGAAATGAACCGAACAAAAGAGTATGAACAGCGTTGTCTGTTTTACTCTCGAGGTAAAGCGAAACCATGTCATGCATATGATACATCGATTGGTCTTCCAGTTTGATAATGAGTGAGCCTTCTACTAGTTTCGAGACCACGAGGGGGAATAAAGTGTCCTGCATGAGTGCTGACCACATGGATTCAAGGCAAGCCTCTGGAACAGGTTCATCCCATGAGATAGCTGCAAGCACCATGAAAAACCTTCTTGAATTTTCTGGCATTGCTTCTAAGCTGAACTCAAAAGACCCAAAGATGGTCAATGTGGTTTCCACTTCTTTCTCATTCACATATGAAACCGGTCCAGGTGCACAAGTTGCATATGTGGAAAGGTTGGAGATTGCTCTATCCCATTTTTCGACTCTGGTCTCCTTTCTGAGAGCCTTACCCATGACAGCAACTGTAAGGGGATGGTGGCCGCAACGATCCAGCAAGTCGTACGCAACAGGCTGTAAAGAACAGGAATGTTAACCATACAAACCCATAAAACTAGGTCTTTAGTAGTTCTAAGTTCTAAGTTACATATTGAACATCTCTTGTATGACAGATACACATATAACTAATTACTTTAAGTAGACTAACATGAATATAAATAGTTGGCTAACTATATTTGTGTACTTTCCATGTTAAACATGAAGGATATTAAAACGAAACCAATGTTGAAATGTAAACACATATACAATCCACATGAAGATGATACCTTAGCTGCAGGGTGCAAAACAATTTTATCAGGTAAAACTAAAATAGGCTAAAGTGCAGGAGTATTCAGTAACCATGAAAGATGCAAATAGAAGAGTATACCGGGAGCTCTTCAACAGTAAGAAGGCTATGATAGAGAAGAATGTCCTTGCCAATTTCTTTGATATCATCTTTGGATATTTCCACCTTTTCAGCTTCTGCAATCTCATAAATTGCCTCATCCCTCGTTGTCACAAGATACCGGCAATCATTATCATATAGGTTTGTGAAGCGATCAACTATGTCTTGCTCCCAGACATCATCAAGTAGGATCAGCATGCTCCTTCCTACCAATGCAGTCTGAAGCAAGTAACAGACATCTTCAAGATCTTTGCCCACATCCTCATTGACAGTCATGGAACCAATCTGCACAAGAAATTTACATATTTTCCGAACAAGACGCTTGTGGTATTCATCCCTATTACCATTGCATGCCGCTCTACTGCACCACCGCCCAAAACTAAGCTCAATTGCACCATCCACAAAATTACCAGGCGGGTCAGAAGCTATTTGTCGAGCAAGACACGACTTCCCAATACCAGATAACCCGACAATCAGGACAACTCGATGACTACCATCATTGATAAGCAGCTCCCTGACATAGCTGCACTTCTTTGACACTGGATAGCCATGCTCCGACTTGACTCTCACCAAGGATGGCGTACTCTTAGCTGTAGACGCTATGACATTGCCCACACTCTCTGTTAGCTTCTGTAACTCAAGCCACCAGTTGAGATCATCCCTGATCAGCTGAACATACTTCATCAGAGGGTCCCCTGTCACCGAGCTCCACACAACTCTGGCCAAGCCCTTCTTCCCTTTGCCTTTCTTCAACACCCGCCTCGCCTTTGTGATGTTGGCATGGAGCTGGTCCATCAGCTTGCCTAGGCTCTGGAGCTGACGCTCGAGCTGCGGCGCGTGCATCTTGTGCGCGTGCTTCTGCTTGGATTGCTGCATCAACAGCCCAAGGTCGGACACAAAATCCTCAAGAACCTGGAGCCTCCTGGGAGCCTCGGCGAAGTCGGCAGCCGCCTGCTCCAGCGCGCCGACCGCGGTGAGCATCGCGGACACCAGCTGGGTCGCCGAGGCAAGAACATTCACAGCATCCATATGGCCTCGCTTCCGGTCAAACAAACCACTAGAGCAACAGCAACGAAGCTCCAATCTCTCCCCTAGCAAGAATTCAATACTCAGAGCTGGCTGCGACAATCCGACGAACACATGGCGTGCGTTCTCCTGGCCGCCACCAACTCCAACACCGAATCCTCCGGTCCCGTTCCTTCATCAACCTCGACATCACCAACCATTCCCCTTTCCCCCAAACTCCCAATCCACCACCAACACGGACGGATCACAACCACAGACCAATCAAGAACATGCAATTCATAGCGAGCAAGAAGCCAGCAATTACGAGTGGAAAAGGGGAATTGATTATACCCAAGGAAGCTCTCGCGGCCGCTGCCGAAGCAGGTCAAACACTCAGCGGAGTGAGGGAGTTTGGTGGGTAGCCGATCGATGGCAAGCGGATTGAGAGGAAGACCAGGAGAGCAGGTGGAATTTGGGGATTATTTGAAAAGTAGTACGCGTTCTTCCTACCCACATCACGTCAGCCGCTCGCCGTCTCCGGACGGTGGAGTGCGAATTTTTTTTATTTATAATTTTTTTTATTAAAAGTTTTACAAAAATAGTTTTCCATTTTGAAAATTGACGGAAGTAGTCGCCTACCGCCGCCCTCTCAGAGGGCGGCGAAAATGACGTGGCAGACGGCCGTTCGCTCTCGGGCGACGGCCGTCAACGAAATTTGCAGGCGGCCCCCTTGCCGCCCTCCGCGAGGGCGATTTTGTACTGTGCGGGGGGCCGCCTGCAAATGGGCGGCGAGGGGGGGGCATGGAATTTTGCAGGCGGCCCCCTTGCCGCCCTTCGCTAGGGCGATTTTGTACTGTGCGGGGGGCCGCCTGCAAATGGGCGGCGAGGGGACATGGAATTTTGCAGGCGGCCCCCTTGCCGCCCTGGGGGAGGGCGATTTTTGCCCCCCCCCCCCCCTATAAAGCCCAGCCCCTCCTCTGTGAAATTTCATTATATTCACTAAAAATCCAAAAAAAAACGAAAGAGAGAGGGGAGGGCAGCAGAAGGGGAGCGGCGAAGCCCTGCTGGTTCGCTCACTTCATCACAGGTATGCTCCCATACATCTTTTGCATTTGTACTAATATGTTATGTTTGAGTATATATGTTGCGTTTTAGTTTTAGTTCCATATATTTTAGCACATCTGTAGCACACAGCACATATGTGTAGATCCAGAGCATAGAATATAATAGTATGAATTGAGACATAGACAGTAGTGTTAATTGTAAGATGTAGTTTAATTTGATCTGGAGAATGTAATGTACTTTTAGAAATTTAGAGAACAATATTGTAGAGAATGTAACTTAGGGCGTAGTACAGAAATGCGAGGTTAACGCAGTTATTGTTTTCATCAGGCACAATGTCAAGTAAGGTCACATTTCAGATAGTTCACGGTGAAGGAAATATTAGATTTGGTCCAGATGGTGTTGATCTGTCAGATTTTGTAATGACATCTAAGGGCATCGATAGCCCTGCGGAGAGAACATTTCAGTCAATTTATAGTTGGTTGTTGAGAGGATTTAGAATAGACCAAGAAGTCTACACAATGTCAGTATCAGTTGTAGTGAGTCGTGCAACAGAAGGTTATTTTTGGGAACTAATGCCGATGGACAGCACTGCTGCTTGGAGACGGTATGTGCAAATGGCTTTTGAACGGTCATGGCCCCTCGTTATATTTGTGTCGGTACAAGAGAAAGATATAAATGTTTCAATGCAAACCGAAGATGTAGAGGGTCCTATCAATGCAGGGGATGTTGTTGGACCATCGATGCAAAATGAGGAAAATCAACCAAGGGAGGAGCAGGCCATGGGTATGGCGGATGAGGGGGAGAGAGTCCGTATAATTGTTGATGAAATGGAGAGGGAAGATTCGGATAATGAGGAAGCGGACGACGACGCATCATCCGATGAGGAAGGTGATGTAATGGCCACTGATTGGGCAAATGAGGACTTCTCTGGACTTGTTATATCAGAGGGTGATCATGTACCCTGGGAGTATAAGGAGAACGAGGTAATTGAGGGTGCAAGGTATGCTCATAAGGATGAGATGAAGGAGGCGGTGAAGCATTGGGCAGTTTCCTTGCAGAGAGAGTTTAGGGTGGTCAAGTCAACAAATTATGTGTATGAAGTGAGGTGCATGAAGGAAGATTGTCCGTGGCGTGTCCATGCATATAAGGGTAAATGGAATGATTATTGGAAAGTTAGCATTGTGACCGAGCACAAGTGCTACTTACAAGGGGTGGAGAAGTATCACCGAAACATCACTTCAGCTTTTGTGGCAAGTGAGATGTACAGCAGTGTTGTTGGTAACATTGGCTTTGAACCAAAATCAATTATTAGGCACATCGAGAACAAATTCAAGTACACCATAAGCTATGCAAAGGCCTGGAGAGCCAAACAAAAGATCATTGAGATGAGGTATGGCACATTTAAAGCTTCTTATGATAATTTGCCTCGTTTGTTAGCCACCATTGCCCAGAGGAATAATAATACTTACTATGACCTACATACATTTACATCGGTTGATGATCGAACAAAGAGTGTGCTGCAAAGAGCCTTTTTCTCATTGGGTGCTTGCATCAATGCTTTTATGCATTGTCGACCTGTTCTATGCATAGATGGAACTTTTATGACAGGTAAATACCGAGGTCAGATATTGACAGCAATTGGGTGTGATGGGAACAACCAGGTTCTACCTATGGCTTTTGCATTTGTAGAGAGTGAGAACACTGAAAGCTGGTACTGGTTCCTAGAGAGAGTGCACATTGCAGTGGTGCGTATGAGGCCCAACGTTTGCCTTATACATGATCGTCATGCGGGTATGTTGCGGGCTATTGACTACTTGCGGAACGGTTGGGATGAGAAGGGACTTCCAGCTAAGTGGCCTGATGTTCGGAGTCGGTGGTGCATGCGTCACATGGGTGCAAATTTCTACAAGCAATTCAAGAACAAGCATCTTATGGAGCTCTTTAAGAGGCTCTGTGCACAGAACCAAGAGAAGAAATTTAATGAGTTGTGGGACAAGTTGGATGAGTTGACAACGAAGCAAACAGATGAGCAATCTCGCAGACCACAAGTTGAAGGTGACGAGCCTCCCATACCTCTTGGTGCATTACATGATGACCCACCAACAATGAGAAGGAGGTCAGGGTCGTCCATCAGAAATTTCACTCAGTGGATTGAGAATGAGCCTAAGGAGAAGTGGTCTCTATTGTTCGACACCGATGGATCTCGGTATGGCATAATGACAACCAATTTGGCAGAGGTGTACAACTGGGTAATGCGAGGAGTTCGGGTACTTCCATTGGTTGCTATTGTTGAATTCATCCTTCACGGCACGCAAGCGTACTTTAGGGATCGATACAAGAAAATTGGTCCGTCCATGGCCGATAACAACATAGTGTTTGGCAACGTAGTGACAAAGTACATGGAAGATAAAATCAAAAAGGCACAGAGACATAGAGTTGTTGCTCAAGGCACACAAGTGCATCGGTATGAAATAATGTGTGTTGATAGGAGCAGGCGTGGTATCTATCGCAAGCAAGTCGTGCAGGAATGTGTCTTGAAGGCGGATGGTGGATGTACCTACAGTTGTATGAAGCCGAAGCTTCATCACCTTCCTTGCTCACACGTTCTTACTGCTGCCGGTGATTGTGGCATATCTCCCAATGTGTACGTCTCAAATTATTTCAGGAAAGAAGCAATCTTTCATACATGGAGTGAGGAGATATATGGGTTCGGGATCTCAGGATCTTACACAACGCTGAGTGCCCAAGTTTTTTATATTCCAGATCCATCTAAGTTAAGGGTGAAAAAGGGTCGACGCCAAACTAGACGCATCAGAAATGATATGGATGAGTCAGAAGCAGGTGGGAGGACTTTACGCTGCAGCAAGTGTGATCTGCGCGGCCATACTTACAAGAAATGCCCGAAGAATGCAGAAGTTCCAAGCGGCGCAGATGCTAGTCCATCTGGACAGGCAAGTGATGGTAGGCGACCACCTGGTGAAGGAACAACAAGCAGGCGCGCAAGGCCAAGGCGTCGTCGTGCAGCAGGCGATTCCATGGTATAACAATGCTTTCGATTTAGGAAATAAAATACTGTTGTGATGTAATGAGTGTTCGGACTAAATACTTCTATCGTGTAATTTCAATTCAATGTTGTTGTAATGAGTACCTCCGACTATTGTTGTACAAGTAGTATTGCGAACTATTCGGTGTTGTATCATAATGTTATCGTGATGAGTGTTCGGACTAAACACTTTTGTTTGTTTGTACTCTTGTTTAATATGTGTGAGTCATTCGCTTATGAACATTTATTACTTATGTTGAACTAATTATTTATATGTTTCTGATCAACCTATTTGATGCAGGTATGGCGTACGACACACCGGCGCTGTTGAACCGTGGGATTGACAGGAACCACCGCTCGTTCCTGTCAGCAGTTGAGGGTGCACAGCTCGGCACCTTCCGTCCACGCACGTCGCGCGAGTGGTTGCGTGTCGACCCCCGTCACGTTCCTTGGTACGCGTATGTTTACATTTCAACTCAACTTTGCTTTGTGTTGTACTTATGTTTGAAGTTTGCTCTATACAGGTTGCGTGCGGCAGGCCTTCTACCACTTTGTAGGCTTGTTGAGGCGGCGGCGGACGACCGTGACCCAGCGAAGCGGTGGGATGCAGACCGGTCACTCCTTGCCGCTCTTGTAGACCGCTGGAGACCTGAGACGCACACGTTCCACCTTCCCTGTGGGGAGATGGCTCCGACACTGCAGGACGTGTCGTACCTGCTCGGGCTACCGCTGGCGGGAGCACCAGTTGGTCCCGTGGACGGTGTTTTTGGGTGGAAGGAGGATATCACTGCGCGCTTCGAGCAGGTGATGCGCCTTCCACACCTAGGACCGGCCAACACCCTTCCTCCGTACTCTACAGTCGGGCCTAGCAAGGCTTGGTTGCTCCAGTTCACTGTAAGTAAATAAGTTGTTTATTATCATACATGCTTATTTGCGACCGGATGATTGTTTTGTACTAACATTTCATTCTTAATTGTAGGCGGACCTTCTGCACCCTGACGCTGATGATTACTCGGTCCGACGCTCCCTTGAGGCGTACCTGTTGTGGTTGTTCGGGTGGGTGATGTTCACTAGCACCCACGGGCACGCTGTGGACTTCCGGCTGGTCCACTACGCACGGTCCATCGCGGATGCTCAGCCACAGGACGTGCCGCAGTGGAGCTGGGGTTCTGCCGTGCTAGCAGCCACGTACCGTGCCCTCTGTGAGGCGTGCACGAAGACTGATGCGGGAGCGATCATCGCTGGCTGCCCTATGTTGCTTCAGCTTTGGGCAGCCGAGAGGTTTGCCATAGGTCGACCAGTGGTGGACAGCGCACCCTACGGGGTTGGTCGCAGCGCGCAGTGGCCAGAGGACGGTCCCACGATGGGGACTTACTGGTGTCGACGTGGGGTTAGTGCAACTTCGCTGCGTTATAAGTTTATCAGTCGTCTTCTTTTTTTTTCTTCACATAACATGTCTAATTCCGATCATGTTTATTGCAGCGTCGTTACGCTCACGTCCAGGTGAGACGTGGTTACCCGGACTTCGTGTTCGAGTTTGACCGTCTCCAGCCGAGCGACGTCATCTGGGAGCCGTACACAGAAGAGGCCGTCGCTGCGAGAGCACCGCTAGGACTTTCGTCCTTGTGCACACGCGACCAGGCTTACTGGCTCACCATCCTGCCGATGGTGTTCGACATTTTCGTTGAGCCTCACTGCCCGCAGCGTGTGATGAGACAGTTCGGACTTAGGCAGGTGTTTCCGGGCAACGTGCAGCCGACCGTCCTCCCTGCCGACCACTCGTGAGTTCGGATTGTTCATTTCTAAATTTTTATGATAAATACATCATCGAGCCATATAATTTAACTCTCTTCACAGGTTGACTCGACGGGGACAGCTGGCAGGCGCACTTTGGGCTCCACGTGTACAGCAGTACGTTGACGACTGGGTGTTAGCTACAGAGGAGGTGATCAACGAGCTCTTCCCACACACGGAGGAGAACTACCGTGACTACCTTGGCTGGTACCTTCCTCGCACTCGTGCGCGTGTGACCTTCACTCCAGACGCCCCAGAGCCGCACGTTGCCGCTGTCACGGACGCGTATCCCACGCACCGTGACCGAGACTACTTCGTGGCGGTACGTCCAATTTGTATTACTTCTTACAATTATTTCATTTATCTTGCATAATATAGGACAACTACTGAATTTTTTATTTCCATCTTGCATAGGCTGATGCCGCACGGGATATCAGTGCCGATATCACCGCAGTCCAAGTGAGGTTGAACAGAGGTTTGCACTTGACTGACGTTGAGCAGAGGGTGACCTTCGACCGGATGCAGCAGAAGATGCGTGCGGTCATGCGCGTCTTCTCCTGTCGCAACGCCGTGGACGTCGTACCTCCAGCTGGTCCGGTACAACCACGGCCTCGCGCGCCTACCGTCGGAGCAGGACCTCGACCTACGGCACCTGTTTCGCACGGTACTGCTCAGCCCAGAGGTTTCTTAAGTTTTGTTCCTGTTTTTGTACGAAAACATCACCCCGTCATAACTTGATGTTCCATCCTCGCAGGACCTCGTTTGCCTTCGAGCGCCCCTAGCTTCGGAGCAGTGCGACCTACAGCACCGGTTTCGCACGGTACAGTTCAGCCCAGATATTAGTTCATTTTTGTTTCAGCTTTTGCACGAATATGTCACCATGTTTTAACTGCACGTTTCCTCATCGCAGGACCTCGTCTGCCTTCGAGCGCGTTCGCAGGCACGACCGGCGCTTCCACGAGCTCCGCAGGGGCGTTCGCCACCTCTTCGAGCGCGTTCGCCAGCTCTTCCTCTCACGGAGCGTCGATCCCTCGCCCACACGGTACTTTACTTTTTATTACTACTGTTAAATACTTGTACGAAACTGATGGTCCTTGTCCAGCAGGATTTGCAGCCGGGATCTTCGGTACTGGGGCCTCTTCGTCTCACGCCGGTAGGACTGGTCCTACTAGCCAGTTCTACGACGACGACTTGCATGGTGCACACCACCACGACGTCCTAGGCTCCTCTCAGCTTGGAGGAGCTCCAGAGGCGCACACTCAGGAGCAGCCAGAGATCACACCTGTACAGGCAGGACGGGTTGGCCGTGCCGTACCCCCGGACCGACTCACGTACTCCCAGGGGCACATTAGGGCGCAGGGTAGGAGGGATAGGGGTAAGAGGCCTCGTCAGTAGTGTTCTACCTCTTCAGTCCTTATGTGACCGTTTCTTTTGGCTTACAAACTTATAAAGCAGTACTATTTTTGCTATTACTACTGCAGTACTACTTGTGTTTGTCTCGTCTACATAGTTCTTTTCATTCATATGGTGCTAGAACAACTTATACTCACGACAACACACTTTCGGCGCTTCACGGTAGTGTCAGATCTAGTAGCGCGCACAGTCCACAACAGCACACATGAAAAGCGGCACCTCGAGTTATCACTATCAACTTTCGGCGCTGCCTGTTGACATAAAGTGAATCACGCCCACGCGTGATCGTCTTGTCACATCTAATGAATAATGTATCTCATTGAGTTCACATATATTGCAGTGAAAACGACGCTATATAATTGACAATCTGAAGGCAACCTCTTCATATATTCTTTCCCACTAGCACACCACACACGAAAATGGAAGCCTATTCATTGGTAATACGTAATCTAGATTTGAGATTATGTAGAACATTTTTCACTACAATTTTACATTTTGGCAGCAAACCAAATATGATCAAATGCAATTTTACCTTACCAAATATTTGGTAGTGCCAAAACTTGCTTATATTTTGGCACTAACAAAATATTTGTACGGTAACAATCCAAATATGCCCTAAAAAATAATAAAATTGTATTTTACCAGTCTTGGAGATTTTAATCTTGTATAGTTTTCAATATAAAAAGATTTGATAACTATTGATATTTATTAAAAAAAATATAGAGCACAGTACAAAATCGCCCTCCCCCAGGGCGGCAAGGGGGCCGCCTGCAAAATTCCATGCCCCCTCGCGGCCCATTTGCAGGCGGCCCCCCCACAGTAGAAAATCGCCCTAGCGGAGGGCGGCAAGGGGGCCGCCTGCAAAATTCCATGCCCCCCCTCGCCGCCCATTTGCAGGCGGCCCCCCGCACAGTATAAAATCGCCCTAGCGGAGGGCGGCAAGGGGGCCGCCTGCAAATTTCGTTGACGGCCGTTGCCCGAGAGCGAACGGCCGGCTGCCACGTCATTTTCGCCGCCCTCTGGGAGGGCGATTTTTAAAAATCGCCCTCCCAGAGGGCGGTAGGCGACTAATTCCGTCAATTTTCAAAATGGAAAATTATTTTTGTAAAACTTTTAATAAAAAAAATTATAAATAAAAAAAATTCGCGGAGTGCAGCGAGGCGAGCAGCAGATGCTCTCCGATCCGCGGCGTGCGTGCGAGCCGAGACCGACTTCCCGGCTCACGTGCGAGGCCCGTTAACTGTTGGGCCGCCACGGCCCACGGGACCACCCACATACATACATACATACACACATGCTGATATGCAACCACCGTCTTGCTAACCTAGCACAAATGCTACATGACGGTATCTCATTCGGACGGTATCGTCTAAAATGTGAGTATCAACCGATGTATATACCAGATATCAGACAATATCTAGAAGATAACATTCTGTTCGAACGAGATATAAACCGATATTTATGAGGTATCGGACGATACTACCTCAAATATATCATCCCATTTAAACGGGATATATACATACCGTCGTTTAGCATTTCCCGATAATAAAGCACATACACATGAGACGGTGGTTGATCTCCAAACTCCAAAGGCAAATGGCCGGCCGCAGCAACGAGCTGATCGATCGATCGCTCTCGCAACCGCGCCGCGCCGCCTTTGACACGATAAAAGCTGGCGAAGCTAAAGCAAGTGGCCGGAGACGCAACGCAAGCGCGCGGCGACGCGGCCGGCGCAGCGCAGCGAGCCAAAGCTGCTGCGTGCGCGCGGCCACGTATAAAGCTCAGCTCAGATGGCTTTGCCGACGGCGAGCGAAGCCATCTTTTGACTGCAGCAGCAGCATGCAGGGACAGGGATCCTCGTCTCCTCATGCATATCAGCAAACGCTGCATATGCATGGCACTGCTGCTGCTGCTGCTTCTTTTTCTTTTCTTTTTTTTACTTGCAAAAGAAAAGAGGTAGGAGGAGGAGGAGGAGGAGGAGGAGTAGTCGGGAGTAAAGACAAGAGCGAGGCAATATCAGTGAGTGCATCTCAAGGGCATCCAATGCAACTTTGAAACTTTTTGACAGTGAAGTTTCACCACCCATGCACCCTTGATCATGCATGTGTCCCCCTCCACATTGGACTTCGGGTCTAGTTTCACCGTAACGGTAGTGGTGTTCCGCGCACGTGCTGGCGCAAGGTTTTGTAAAGAGTTGTACAACTACTGCTAGTAGTAGTAGAAAAAAGAGTACTTACTATTACAATATACTTGTATACTAGTGCGGCTACATGTGACGGCGCACCGGACGTAGCTATGTCCAAGTTTGCCATACCTTACTAGTTCCGAATGTCATAGATTTCACACGCACGCTTACTGAATTTTATCTCTATATAATGCTGATCTCACGTGCAAACATTGTAAATTTTATCTGTGTTTTCTGCTATACTTGGCATCAACTGGCTCAAATATAAAGGATTCTTAGGAATACATGGGATTTCGTTGGTCAATTCGTAGTAATCTCCCTAAAAAACTTCGGCCGGTTTACGCCGCCCTGGAGAAAAACAATCTCTCTAAAAAAAATTATATTCCAAAGTAGACCATAATCAATTTTGAAGGACAAAAAATGCATTTATTTGATTGCTCCTAACAGTTAGGCACATCTCTAAATCCACAAGAGTTGATTTCTGCAAATGGCATTGTCCCCCAACCAAACTATGGTACTGCAATATCCCGCTTTGACATTTCGCATTCGCAGTACACTTCTGGTTATCCCATTACTGTCCGATAAGATAACATTTTTTAGATACTAAAATGCATATAACAAATACATCAAACAAACAATTGGATAATGAAGTGAACACGATCGAGCAGGGCAATTAATTAAGAAGCAACATACTAGTTAATAATAATAATACTTCTCAAGCGCAAGCGTTTCGGGTTACACGACTCGATCGAAGAGCAAACATGCCGAAAGAAACAGGAAATAAAACGGGTAAAACATAGATAATCAGGGGTCGACGGGTCCTCCCAAATGGGAATCAGAACCAAATCTAAAACGGGAAGAAACAAAACTAGTAAAACCATGGGGAGATTTCTTTTGCATTCTACTTTCTTCTTCTTCTTATGTAGACATCACAACTCTTAACGCTGCTTCTGCTGCTCGTCGTCACTGCTGCAAGCCTCATCGGATCCAGATCGATCGGACACGTACGGCAAATTACACCTCAGTGCCTGCAAATGCATAACACGCACGAGATCAGATCATGACATGAGGCAGGAGACAAGGGGAGATTCACGATAATTTACAAGTAATTTTCGTATGTCATAGCGCTACCGGAGTCCCGCGGTGCGTTGCACCTGAAGCACTCCATCCTGCTGGCGAAGTTGTGCTCATTGCATCCAGACCTGTGATCAAACATAGAAAATACAAGAGTTAACAGAAAGCAGAGTTCATTATTAGACACATATATTGCGAAGTTATGCAAATCCAGCATTGGAGATGTATGGAACATGCTATGCTGCTACAGTTGCCAGGGAGCTAAAAATGTGACATAGACACTTCGCTTATCAGTATAATATTTAAAGCGACCACATCATCAGTGATACTCGAGGCCTAGGGCCGTTCATTCAGATTTTGAATGAAACTGTTCAAAAATAGGCCATACTGATCAATTTGCCGCATGCTACGATAAATATAGTGTCATCTCAACTACTTCCGGTTTTCCACAGATTGAGAAAACCATGGATGAATACCTCTAGTTACAACTACGGTACTATACATAAGCTACTAATATTCTCGTGCAGCATAACAGAACCACTAGCTTTCTCATGAATGATTGAATGAAGACAGGCAGCATAATTAGTTGATCCTCCTGTCTCTTCTGAAGAAACAGGACCCCCCCCCCCTAATATGCAAAAATGGTACGGAGAAATATTACAAGCTTTCAAAAGTCCGTAACTACCACTAAATTAACCATGTAAATTATCCATGCCATGTACTGTCTTATACCATAATAAGGGCTGGGAAAAATCATATATTGGCTATGAATAGTTGATTTGCTAAAGCAAACAGATATTAAAACCAAAAGAAAAGGATAGCCTAACTAGTGATGACACGCACCTGGTGCAAATCCAGTCGCCAGACTTCCAGCCAGGGCGGCTGGCGCGGACGGCGCCGCTGCCGAAGCCGTAGCCCCGCGAGCGCGACATGTCCCCACCATCAAAGGCACCAGCGCCGCCACTGTTGACGGCAGCATCGTCCTTGAAAGCAGCGCACTTGAAGCAGCTGGAGCGGCTGGCGAAGTTGTGCGCGCCGCAGTTGCAGTACCAGTCACCTGGGCGGACATCAGAGCCAGTGCCAAAGCCTCCACCGAAGGAGGAACCACCACGGCCGCCGAAGTTGGCGTAGTCACCGCCACCACCGCTGCCGCGATCAGCGGCGCCACGCGGCTCGCCGCAGCGCTGGCATAGGTCCCGGCGGCTGAAGTTGAGGTGCTGGCACGCCCTGCAGTCCCAGTCTCCTGGCTTCCTGTTCATCTTGTCTTACCCTGCACATCAACAATGTACCACTCATTAAAGATTATTGGATCAGAGCAAGGGCGAAGAAAAAATGATCAAACTGAAGCCCAGAAGCACACTTGACTTATAAGATAACCCAGCTGTTCTCTCTTTGCAAAACCTTTTGCATTCAAGAAATAGGAAAACCACAACCAACATGCTTACATGCATACAAAACAAATGAACAAACACTAACAGGAAGCTCAGTTACCTAAACAAGTATCAGCTGCTGTGTTGGTGAGCTCTAAGGTGGAAAATGCTGTGAGGTGAAAGGGTGATGCAGCGAGGTGCTAATGTGCAGGGGTATTTATAGTGCGGTGGCAGGGGTTGCTGAAACCGAGGGGCGGGTTATCTTTGTGCCTTTGGTTCTTTGGTGCACTTTGGCCCGCGAAGAACAAGAGAATCACGTAAAACTAGAAAGAAGAGGGGAGTTAAAGAAAAGAAGAGAAAGCCATTAAAGGGCAAAAGAAATATGGGGAGTTTGAATGCTTCCTTTACCCTGCATCTCTGCCTGCCTTGGCAACATCTTTTGAGACATGGGGTGGAGGGATGGCACTAGTGCGCAATATTCTTGTGCTTAGGAAATTAAGATGCAATTAGTTATGTAACAGTGGTTATTCGACCAGAATATTTTTAGCAAAATACATATAGAACCAAAGCCACCAAAGCTAATATGGAATGTCAGAGGAAGAACAGAAAATCATTTCAGAAAAATGGAGCTAATGGTTAGTACAAGTATTATCCACTATTTCTGTTTTCAGGGAGCATTATGGACCAACAATAAGAGGGGACTTTAGATCAGACTGGAAATTTTTAGAAATAAATCTACACTCAATTAGATATCTCCTTTTGTTCTTTAAGTACAGCTTGAGTCAAAAGTTATTGGTCTCATGAGAAAACAGTTTTGCAAGACTGGTGCGTTTGACATTTCCCAAATTTCCACATGAAAAGGATTGTACATCTTCAGGTCAAGTAAAAGACTGATTCACAGTGTTGGAGCTAGTGATAACCAATATTCTTGAAACTGACACATCATGGTTTCAAGAGGAAAAAGAAAAGACTCGAAATTAGGTCCTGAATTATTGTGCTTAGGTCGATATTTAATTTTGGACAAGCATGGCTGAATCAAGAAGTGTTTCATGTCTAAAAATGGCAAAGATTCTAATTTGAGTATTGACTGACCTTTTTCTGCTTTTGATAAGAGAGATACAAATAGTTTCAGATTAAGTCTCAGAGAATAAAAGGGTGATCCTGAGGGTTTTGATTTGATTGTATCTAGTTCAAATGTTCCAATCAAATGAGGATAACTGAGACGAGTCAGGACCACATGATATTTAATCTGTGTTCACCCGAGACTGACATATCAGGAACTTTATGGACAGCGAATGTATAGTTTCACATCAAGAATAGGTACATATTTGGTTAGACATGCAGTTGAGGCCTGCTGTGTTAACTGTTGTGAGACAGAATTCCTGACATTCCAATTTTCCAAGGGCCAACACATCACCCTCTTCTTTAGCAGATTCCAAAATGGCAAGGCAAACCATATCTATTCTAAAAGAGTGCAAAATCTAATTAGTTATGCCTAATAATGCAGCGTATCACACTGAATTGTGCAATTGTGCTACCGGTGCTCCAGAGCTATCCACACACGTGTGATGGAACCAGAATACTGCATTTGCACAACTATTTCAAGCATTACACCAAACTTATGAAAAGAAGAGAAGCAGAGTGTAAAAGCAGCACTTATTATTGATTCTACGAGAAAATGGATATAGACCTAAATGAGTTAATCTGTGAGGTCTCAAAAGAGCAAGTCTATGAGGTGACAAGAATGGTGGTTATCATTCTGAACTTATGCTATATCTATTGCTATATAACTATCCATTCTTGCAACTATAAAAAGCTATTCTCATCCCTTATATTCGATGCTAACTTTGCCTTCTTTCACTAGCAATAATTGAGGAAATTCCATGGCATCCATTCCAACAAACGGTCACATCGGCTCAAGCCTAAAACTATGTCCGGTGAATTATCCGCCAAAATAGCAAATCAACCATCCGTTAGTGTAACATAGAACAGTTTATCTAAACTAGGAAAAATCCCATGACTCTGGTGTAAGCATAATTAACCGGCTAAAGCATTTTTTGTCACTAATTAAGATGGCAGAAATAAATCAGTATAGACCAAAAAAAATAGATATCAAGCAGAGCTCAAATGAAGTGTGACTTTTTTATAGATTACAAATAGACTGGCTAAAATTTTGGATAGGAAGGAACAAGCATGAATTGATCCATGATCTTGTAGACCATGTGAATATTCGAGATGCAAGGATAGAAAGGGGCATAAAACTTTTGTCAACATACCTACAAGGTGAACATCTACATGGAAATGACATGATGTGCAAGTTACAAAGCAAAACTTACACTAGTTTAAAACCATGAAAGAAGTATCATCTCAACTAAAGTTAAATCTACCGAACGAAACTCTTTTTTCTTCAGAGAGAATATCTCACAGTGAATAAGATTTATTCTGAGATTGGGATTAATTAATATAGTTCTTATGTTGACAAGAGTAACAAATAAAAGTTTGATAACTATCAGTTACTTGATGCACTTTTGCTCAGTCATTGCCTGAGCTTATTTGTTTGGAAGGACATCCTCGGAACCTTTCAGAAATTCAAGCACCTCTTTGGGCCCCTTGTGTTCCCTCTCTTATCAACAATAAGGTGCTACGGAAACACAACTTTGTTCATATTAACTAAAAATAGTAGCCTCTAGCCCTCTAGTCATATCCATAATAGAGTTGTGCAATTTTGTCTAATGCAAACCCAAAGCATACTGACAGGGAGTTAATACTGCTGACAGGGGTAAGTGAAAGAAAAGGAACCACTTGAAATCAAGACAGACATAATGGATTGCTGAGCTGTAAGTGGTGAGCAATTGGCTTTATCCTTTTTTATAAGAGGAAACATTGAGAAGGAATTTCCGAAAACAGAGAAAGATCCCATCATCTTAAATTAACCTTCATTTCACAACCCAAGATGAACATGATGGCAGAAAGCAAATAGAGATGGCCTGATGCATAACTGATAATAATGCATGAATTTCAATAAAGATAGAGAAATCAAGAGGCAGTAGTCTTCAAGGGTGCCAGTGACCATCCTCTTTAGAATTCTTTTTCACCTCCTTTTATTTCCGGTTGTGTTTTGCATCTCTTCTGTTGTTTCCTTGCCCCTTTACTTGTGCTCATCCTTGAGGTTGAGGCTTTACATCAGTGGATTTACTTTTGCTTTTCATCTATCTATTTTTTCTATTATGTCACTGTACTATATTTGCTAGCACTAGCACTGGTGGTAGACTGATAGTAGATGCCAGGAGGGGATATGTAGGTTTCAAAACCATAGGATGATATGCCTTCTCTTCCATTCCATTCTCTTGGGTGAAGTGAAAGCAGAAGCAAATACAAATCATGGAGTCCTTGGGAAAAAAACTGAGGGGCCAAAAGCTAGCTTGGATTCTCTCCTAGGGAAGTGCTTCCATGCATGACCATGACCAAACTCCAAAGGAAGCGATCACTTGATAACCTAACATGCTTTGATTCTCTGCTTTTGCACAACCAAGAAGAACAGCTCAAGCCTTTTAGCTTTTGTGTTAATAAGCGTACTAAAACCAGTATGAGTACTACTGATAGAACACCAAAAATCTTCAGCAATAGTCCCACTGTCAAAAGTATCTGTTTGACTGGTGCGGCTAAAACATGACTAAGCTTCTAAGTACCTGAGTTCTACATGGGAAATTACTAGGTATACATTAATAAACTACAAAGTGCAAACTAAAAATCCATGTTAGCGTTCGACTATATGTAGCAGAATATGATTTTAAATCTTGGTAGATAGTCAATTGTGGGATCAAATCACCATTTATATAAACTTGAGGTATTAAACTGCTTCTGATTTCACTAAAAAATTAAATTGCTTGTGATCACAGGGATACAGATTCCACAATGTAAAGCACTAGTCCCCTATGTGGGTGAGGAAAGCGTGTCATGGATATATGAACGATATATATGAACACCAGTTGAACTTGATATAAACAACAAAAATTCATGCCATGCGGCACCTACCCGGACCTCATTGGAGCTCACAGAATAGTCAAACAGTCATAAACAATCATACGCTGTCCTCACTTTTGCAAACATTGGTTTAAGACTTAAAGTATGCTCTTATTCCTAGAAATTGAATGATTAGTTGCACTTGAAATCTTGCATGGAGTATCTTGGCCTGTAGATTCCAAAGACAGACTGCAGAGCACATCTGTTTCCTAGTCGTTCATGCACTAATTCCTCACTGAGAACAATTGCACGAGCATAGATCTGGTTTAACTAAGTGTCTTGCGCCATTACCCACATAGCAATGGGAAGGCACACGTATGGGCTAGGATGAAGGCATCTACCCAAAACAGAGCAACACTACAGTACACAAACCTTTAATTATATATTGTTATAAGTTGGATGCGCAGTTGCGCACACCATGGGTACAATAGATTCCATGGCATGTGTGCTGTATTGATTCACCACACTTGCATGCACTACTATAGTTTCAGGATGACGTAATCTGGCCTTGACAAGGTGAAAGTTAGCCACCACCCAGTTTGGCTGACCAGCTTTCTTGTATACATTCGATGTGGTGCACTGCAATGCATCATGGAGATGAACAAAAAGATCTAAATCCTCTTTAGGTTTAGTCCTTCAGGGCATCAAAGCCCCAGTCAGCAGATGGACCGTATCATGAACAGTGCACAGCATGATAGCACATCATAACCGAGCGTTGCGCGTTGGCAGCCACAGCCCCGCACACATATCCAGACGCGCTCACCGTGCTAAATCCTATTTATTTCTTAATAGCACATAACATCGATGACTAGACATGGTTTCATACTTTCATCTAAGCATGACTTATACCTTACTTAGTATGACAAACAAGAAAAGTTTAAAATGAGTGACAGTCAAAGGTAATCACATAAGACAAACTACAAAAGCCTAAAAAAAAATTCAGAGCACACAACAAACCCACAGCCAACATAGCTATCACTTTTCTCTTGCAACTAAAGAAGATATGTACCAGTAAAAAATCCACAAACCCATAGCTGTAAGTCCCTATACTCTACAACAAGGATCATGCCCCCACTCATCCAAGGCTCCAAGAGCAAAAAACCACCACCAGCTCTGCCCCACCCCTCCCCTGCGGCGCGCACCCACATCGAATCGGATGCAACAGCTGTCGAACGATCAACGGCGGCACGAATCTCGACGCCGGGGACCTCTCCCCCCACAAACCCTACCGCGCGCGAACGAGACGTTGCTAATGCTCGCAAGAAAAAAAATTCGACACACGGAGGAGATAGCCAGGGGAGGGAGACACGCCATCATCGCCCGCAAAAATTGCACAAATCTACCCTCGATTCCGTGAATCCGCCCCCCTCCTCCCGCACCGATCACCCAATCCAACCCGTCTCCACGAACAGGAATCGATCAAACATGCAAATTAAAGCGCATCACCCGAAACGAACGAAACAAACCGAGCGGGAGAAGAAGAAGGGGAGGGAGAACGCGCACGCACCTGCTCTCTGGAGACTCGTCGGCGTCCTCGCACCTGCGGACTTCGGCGGCGGCGGCGGCGGCGGCTGGAGCAGAAGCGATCTCGATCAGGCGGAGGAGGGAGGAAGACGAGACGACGAGATAATAAATAAATAAATCGCACGAAACGGGGTGAGATTTAAGCCAGCATCAAAACCTACCTCTTTAATCCAACCCGCGGCGTTTTTTCTCCCTTTTTTTTCTTTTTTTTGGAGGTTTTTATTTTTCTTCGTCTTTCTCTCGTGTTCGTCTCGCCTCGGCCCACGAGGAGGTTCACGCGGCGGCACCGACGTCGAGGCGGGTCAAAGGGGGCCTCGTCCTCCCGTGGGGCCCACGTGTCGGCGGCTGCCCGGGGCCTCGTCCTCCCATGGGGCCCACGTGTCGGCGGCTGCGCGGGGCCGCGTCGCGCGTCGCCGTGCCGTGCCAGGGCAAGTGTGTCACTGACAGGTGGGGTCTCGTTGTGGTCCCCTCATGGATGGCTCGTATAGTCGGGGTAGTACACGTGTTTTGGGCGAGGAGAAACCGGGCGTGTCACGTCGTGATCTGGACCGTCCGTCGGGTGATTGACGTTGGCCCCCGTCTTTGGCTGATACGCGACGAAAAATATCAGATCATAATCCTCGTGCTTGTTTGGGTCGCTGTCGATGCTGCTGATGTTAAGGTGGGTGTTGCTTTGGCTGTTCGTGGCATAATTGGTCATGTTTTCAAATATGTTTGAGTCGTACCCGTGAAATTATGCTTAATTACAAACGTACACTCTCTATTAGTTCTTGTTTCGCAAACATGTCAAATTTAATATTGTTACGTGGTAGAAGTAACTTGGAATTCACAAACTAAGTGCCCCTTTCAATCAAAGGGTTTGATTTAGAGGATTGGGGTTTTCCAAATCCTATAAAACGGTTTTGGAGAAAACCTAGCAAGAGGTTCAGCATCTTGGAAAAAATACTTTAGTCTATCTCTTTCATCCGATTCATGTGTTTTTCTGCGGTCCAATCAAACAATCACTTCTGTGTTTTGCAATCTTCCGTTTTACACATGCATTCCTATCGAATCAAACAATCATTCATGTGTTTTGCAATCCTCCGTTTTACACTTGTATTCCTATCGGAATTATGTGTTTTTCCTATTCCTTTGTTTTTTTATTCTTATAACTCAAAGAGGCCCTAAGTAGGGATGAAAACGGTACGAAAATGGACGGAAACCACCTTTATCGGTTTTGTTTTCATATTTTTTTTCGGAATCGGAAACCCCGGATACGAAAATGGAATCAAATATTGTCAAAACCGAAAACGGTCCAACGCTGATACGGTAATGAAAACTTATCGGAATAAAAAACCCCTCAAACTAATCTTTAAACTATGTCAAATCCAATTATCAAGTCTCAAATATCAACATTACATCATAAAACACAATCATATAAGTCCAATTCTCAAGTTTGAATTGGGTGTATTGGATTGGGCTGAATTGAGTGACTTAGGAATTAGGATGTTGATTTGGGTTGGACTGGGGAGGAATTATAGACTATGGTATAGGCCTTTATAATTTCGGAAATTCCGATAAATTTTTCGGAAAGTTTCCGACCGATTCCGAGTTCCGACGAGGGCTTCCTTTATCATATTCAATTATGTTTTCGAGAAATTATTTCCGAATTCATTTTCGTTTCTGAAAAAATTCCAACCGACAGATTTGTTTTCGAAAATAGGTCCGGAATCCGAAAAGTTTACATACCGTTTTCATCCCTAGCCCTAAGCGTAGTTGATGGAGCCTACTCACCTAGTTTCATGTCATAACCTGAACACAAGTGTGTTGGTATTTACATGGTATCTGTTAACAATAAGTTTTCAGTCTATAACAAGATGTTTACGGTGACTTCGTTAATCTTAAGTTATGCCTCTTTCAAGGTGCTTAGTGCATTCATATCCTGCCTTAGTATAAAGTTGATGCCCACTAACTCCTAAAACTCAACATGCGACCATAAAGCTGATGGTAGCTTTGTTAATCTTAAGTTATGCTTCTTTCAAGGTGCTCACTACATTCATATCCTATCTTATTATAAAGTTGATGCTCACTAACTCCTAAAGCTTAAGATGCAACCAGGGTTTACGATTTCGACAGGCCCTTCCGTTTCGGGCACTAGCGGAATTCGGAATTTCGCGAAATCCGGTGGAAAACCGGAAAATTCCGAACAAATTTCATAAACCAAAATTTGAATACAAATTCCCTGATTTTGCTGACAAGTTCTTGAAAACCGGTCGGTTTTGGCGAAATTCCGATCGAAATCATCGAAATTTCGATCAGTAATATGTAATTTGGACCAAAAATATGTAATTTGGACCAACTACTTACTGGGCCTAGTACATGCAATCCGGGCCATGTAAGTGTTTTCCTTTTTTTAATTATTTATTCTTTTCTTTACTGATGTAAGTTTCAGTAAATACACACAATATATCATTTTTTTCAAATATTTATATCCCAATAGATTCTATTAATATCATATTATAAGATTTTATTTGTTTCTTTCCTTTTTTATCAATTCAAATTTGAATTTGGATGAAACTCCTCGAAATCTCAAACAGTTTATACTTTCAAGCCTCGTCGGAATGTCGAAATTTCGCAAAATCCGACCGGATTTCGTTGGAATTGTAAACCCTGAATGCAACTATGTCACATCATCACCCACTAGCAATAGTTACATATTTAACCTTATGCAAGCATACAACATCATGTACTTCCTCCGTTTCACAATGTAAGTCATTCTAATATTTCCCATATTCATATTGATGTTAATGAATTTAGACATATATCTATCTAAATTCATTAACATCAATATGAATGTGGGAAATGCTAAAATGACTTACATTGTGAAACGGAGGGAGTATAATTTATTTAATTCTACAAATCAACATGTAAGTATATCTGATCATCACCCTCACTTCATTTCCACAATATTTTAACAAATCTATCTATCATTTTTATAATATTTAACATACACTTGTCAAAATTGCAAGTATCATTTGTTTGTTTTATAGAAGTATTGATAAACCCTCACGTTTTATTTTTTTTCTTTTTACTTCTAGCTCGATTATCGAAAAAAATATATTGAAAATTGGTTAATAATTCCCGCAGCAAAGCGCAGGGATACACCTAGTTTCATAGGGATGAGTGTGCCAGTGTGTATACAACAGGCCCATTTTTCAAAGGCACTTATTGCACATGCAACTTCCTAGAGGTAAGAGCAGGTACAATAGCAGGCTATAAGAGCATTTACAATAGCAGACTATTAGCCAGCTATAAACATATTTTAATGATATAAAAGATGAGAGAGAAAGAGCAGCGAGCTACAGATCTGTAGCCAGCTGCAGTACGGACTCTAAGATGCGATGTGTGTATGACAAGTGGGACCATATATTAATAATTTAGTAAGCAACTATTGTATGAATTAGCTATTACACTGGCTATAGATGAATTGGAGCTAGTAGTGGGCTATACTATTAAACTTGCTCTAAGAGCAGGTACAATAACAGGCTATAAGCCAGCTGCAAACATATTTTAAGTAGATAAATAAGAAGAGAAGAGCAGCGGGCTACAGATTTGTATGACAGGTGGGACCGGGTATTAATAGTGTAGTATGTATTATTGTATGAATGAGCTATTAGATTGGCTATAGATGAATTGGAGCTAGTAGTTGGCTATACTATTAAACTTGCTTTAAGCTAACTATAAACATATTTTAAAGAGATAAAGGAAGAGAGAGAAGAGCAGCGGGCTACAGATCTGTAGCCAGCTGCAGCACGGACTCCAAGACGTATTGTGTGTATAACAGGTGGGACCAGATATTAATAGTATAGTAAACAACTATTGTATGAATTGGCTATTATATTAGCTATAGATGATTTGGAGCTAGTAGTGAGCTATACTATTAAACTTGCTCTAAGTGTGTACGCGTTGTACTATATTTCATGAGTGTACGCACATGTACACGAGTACCTATAATGTGTTTCGGGGGAAAAAAAAGAACTTGGAATCCTTCTATTGTAATCCAATTTCCTTGGTACAACCAAACCACCTGGAATCGTTGAAGGCCGATCCAGCAACTTAAAGCTAAGGATGTTGTTTCAGACCAAATCACTTACCAGTAAGTTGCTGTCATTAGTCATTACAGTAGGATAACTGACCGTACCCAGCAGTCTTTTGCTCATGCAATACTGCAAGTCTGCAGCTTAAGACGGTTAATCAGTTACAGTTTGGTGCTGACACAATGAGATTTATCTGATCCAGCTATGATTATCATGTTTTATACTCCTAGTTAGTTTCCTGGACTGGCAAGCTTGTACTGTGCCTGACATATTTAGCATAGCAGTCCAAGAAGATCAATCATGCAGAGATAAACTGTATTCCCTGTTCAATAATCGATGAGTGATTCAAAAACCTGGCTAACAGTGCATTTGCATTCTTTTGCAGTGAAAAACAACCAGATGTCCCAGTAAAAAAAAAAAAAAAAAAACCAGATGTGCCAATGTGCAATCTCTTCTCAGCCACAGAGAATAAAATGGAGAAACGCCAACATATATGCTGTGGGCAGGATCAAATGGGCCACAAGAGAACAGGAAGCTGAGAGGTAAAAGTATAGATGGGCCACAAGAGAACAGGAAGCTGAGAGGACATGGATGATTCACATGTAAAATGCAACTATCAAGATAGAAAGAAAATACTCACCCCATTATTTGTCAAATGAATGTCAAACGAGAATCAAATATATAGTTAGCTATTTGTAGCCCAACAGCTGTAGAGATAGATTAGTGAAATGCTGTAGAAACATCATTCAATATGATTTCCCTTTGACATTATCAATATTGTTGATCTAATCTTCTAGACATGCTGAACAAAAGTGGTTGTTTGAGTTCTTGCAGTAGTGAAAATAGCATCGTGTGTACAGTGTGAACATCACATATTGCAGAAATAAGCTAATAAAAATATTCACCTGGATACATGGTCCAAGTACTTGTCATTGAAAAAACTGATGCCTTAGCTTATCCAAGCTTCTCCTGGTTAATTTACCTTGCATTGTATTGAGTATTGACAACTATGACTAAATCGAGAATAGTATATATAAATAAGTAGTAGCATGCTTTCACGCAGTTTAGACTATTCTCACTGATCTTTAGGTAGCATTCTAAAGTTTCAGAATTCCAAACTTCTGCTGGAACAATGAAATGCCGTAATAAGCTTTATAATGCAATTGTTTTGGTGTTTGATGTTTCAAAGTGCAACACTACTAATGTTTAGATGCTCGTTACTGTTCACTTTTGAGTGATGATGCGACTATGAGTCAATAGACAAAGGAGTTGGGATGCCCATTTGTTGGCAGGCTGCCAATACTTAGTTAAAAAGTGTTGTATTGGCCATTTTGTATCATGGTTAATAAATTCAGCCTTCATTTCTGATTGTGTGAGTTGTTGCTGAGTTATAGTTTTATTCCTACAGTGCTTGCTGAGATGTGGTACGTATTATTTCCCTTCCAATCCTTTCATGTTTTGTATCCCAGTTTCTCTCTCAGTGGTTATTTAGACCATTTTTGTTTTCAGATAAGGAAATCTGTATTGAGCTCACAAGCTTTCTCAAAATAAGATGCATCGACATTGTTGAGAATATAGCATTTTTCCTATATCTGAAGAGTGAATCAATTCTTATGGCCTGAAGATGGATCATGACTGTAGAAGCTTGTTGCTTGTTACAAAGTATCTCATTGTTTGAATATCTAACTGACCCAAAAACAAAGTTTAGAAAAGGAATCAAGGAATATTAGAAGCACATAGTCTGAATTTTGCAAATATTCATCCAACGTAGGTTCTGGGTTAGAAAAAAAGACAGAACAACTATAATGGGGGCAAATCCAAAAGATACAGATATAGCATATCTGAACTAAATCCACAGGCATACCATCACCTGAATAGTATGTAAACTGGGTATTTTCCATTCTACTAAATCCGCATATCCACTAATATACAACAATGGAGCGAGGTAAGTAACAATGTTTGAAGGTAACCAACCACAAAAAACCTTATAATATTACACATTTACCATTGTTGCCATCAAGACGGTTGTTCATTCCACCCGAGATACACAACAAGAGTTAGAAATGTTCACCCATCAGCAAGTTCCTGCAAAGAAAGAAGCATATACATCTTTCAGTTAAAAAATAACCGAGATAGCCAGTGACATATCTCAATACTAAAGGCTTTCTTGTTACTATTGTACAAGTAATAAGTTCAGAGCTTAATGTTCTAAGCACAAAGTTCTTTTAAGAATTAAGAGTATTATCATCTATATTGCTCTAAGCACATACATTTTCAAGACTTCTTGTAAGACCACACGCATAACAGTTCTAATCTGTACCAAAATGTCATATTGTAAGATTTGCTGCAAACACAAGCAATGACATTGCAAGCAGCACAAGTTCAGAAGAGGAATTGAGATTGTAAGCTTGCTTACATCAGTCACTGTCACTCTCGACGCCATCATCGCTCCCTTCGGTCCGGCGGAGAGCGTCGCGCGCGGCGGCGAGCGACGGGTCGATGGAGGCGGCGGTCTTGAAGGCGTCCAGGGCCTCCGCGGCCATGCCCTTCCGCTCGTAGCACTCGCCGAGCAGCGCGTGCGCGCGGGCGTTCTGGGGGCTGAGGCGGACGGCCTCGGCGAGGTCGTCGGCGGCCTGGTCGAGGCGGCGTCGGTGGCGGCGGTGGAGCGCGAGCGCGATCTCGGCGCGCTTCGCGAGGGCGTCCCCGCGCTCCCGTGGCTCGAGGGAGCGCGCGAGCGGCGGGGCGAGGGCGGCGTCGAGGGCGCGCAGCGCGGGGAGGCGGTGGCCCTGGAGGTCGAGGGCGAGGGCCTTGAGGATGAGCGGGGCGGCGTCGCGCGGGTCGAGGGCGATGGCGCGGTCGGCCTCGGCGAGCGCCGCGCGAGCGAGCGGGCCGGGTGGCTTCTTGGTCCCGCCCGCGGCGGCGGCGCGCGCGCGGGCGAGGAGCTGGGCGCCCTGCGCGAAGTGGCGGCGAGACTGCGCGGCGGCGGCGGAGGAGGAGCCGGCGGAGGAGGCGCGGCGGAGGCGGTGGGCGGCGCGGCGGGGGAGGGAGTGGAGGGCGACGAGCATGGCGGCGGCGAGGATGAAGAGGAGGCACAGGACGATGGCCTCCGGCCAGGTGGCGGCGGCGCCCAGGGCCAGGGCAGCCATGGCTCTAGCTCGAGGGAGGACCGGGGACTAAGTTTAGTTTTTTTTCCTTTTCTTTTCTTTTTTTTTAGTTGGGTTGGAGTTGGAGAGTGGATGTCCGATCTCGGATCGGATGTGAGTTGTGACCGGACCGGCCGGCTTTGGACCTTGGAGGAGGTGGGACTGGGACCGTGCGAGCTCGGCTGGTGTATACTCCCTCCGTATTTAATGTATGACGCCGTTGACTTTTTGTCTAACGTTTGATCATTTATTTTATTTAAAAATTTTGTATAAATATGAAAACATTTATGTCATGCTTAAAGAACATTTGATGATGAATCAAGTCACAATAAAATAAATGATAATTACATAATTTTTTTAAATAAGACGAATGGTCAAACGTTAGATAAAATGTCAACGGCGTCATACATTAAAATATGGAGGTAGTAGTTACAAAGGTTCACCAAAAGATGCGGTTATCGCACGGTTATCACGCGTGGTAACTTTTTCAGTTTTTAAAACTACGGTATATCTCTCGATAACCGTGTGGTTTTCTCGATAACCACGTGATTACCTTGGTATCCACCAAACCATGCGGTGACAGTAACCTCACCCCCCCCCCCCCCAACAGTTTGGTAAACCCTTGTACAAGTACAGGCCTATTGTGAGGGATGCAAGCCGTCAGCAGTTCTACTGACATGTGGGTCACACATATCCTCGGACTCACATGTCAGTGAGCAGTATTGTATGTGCGTATTACATAGGATCTTAATTGCATTTTGAAATAACTGAAATGGATGAATTAATATTAATCTTATACTCCCTCTGTTTTAGGTTATAAGACGTTTTTTGACTTTAGTCAAAGTCAAATTGCTTCAAGTTTGACCAAGTTTGTAGAGGAAAAAAATATTTTCAACTAAACACAAATTTATTATGAAAATATATTTAATTATTGATTTAATAAAACGAATTTGGTATTATAAATATTATTATATTTGTGCATAAACTTAGTCAAATTTGAAGTAGCCTAAAACGGAGGGGGTATTTAGGATATCAAGGCATCACATTTCCTTGAAAAAGGTGTTCAAGAACAGTTTCTAATATTTTAATGAAGGCGGAATTAAAAAGAAATATGACCAAGAGGGGTGCAAATGTATATAGAACGGACTTTCTTTTTTCTATTTCCCACCACTACTAGATAGTGGGCATAAATCTCAAGATTCATGTATTTGTCCAAGTAAATCCATTATGGATAAGATTTAAAGATATTTTCCACGAACTAACTAAAATTAAAAGATTCAAGGAAGAAAACAAAAGGAATAATTTAAGAGTAGATTTCATAAAACTACATAGTGATCAAATCTATCACAAATTAAACTTACTCGTGTTTGTTCAAGTTACAAGAGCTTTAAGTTCATATATAGTTGGAGCCTTGAAACTCACTCGTTTTAGAGTGTGTTCGACACTACAAACTTATACTATTTTGTTTTTTACGTGCACGTTTTATAAATTATTAAATGGTGGTTTTTAAGAAAAAATATCTATAGGAAAAATACTTTTTAAATCATATTAATTATTTTTAAAGCTAATAAATAATGTACTAATGATTTTTCTCGTTTTTCTGTACGGACGGGAGGAAGTTCCCAACACTGAGTCGCTATAACGCACGCAACCTAGAAGGTTTTCTAATGAAATCTTATGATTATGACTTACAATATGTCATTTAACGTGGGGTTGGCAAGCCATCACCAAATTAACAATCCCGTATGAGTTAGGAGAATTGAGATCGGTTGCAGTTGCACTTGTAACTGTAAGATAAAACTGTATATAATTTTGGCCATCCATTTTTACGGTTTAGACCGAACGCTACAGTAGTAATGGCTACAGTATTTCGTGCTACAGTATTTTTCTACAATACCAGTACAGCATACAATCTGGACCATCCGATTTGCATCCAATAACATGCACTACTACTGCTTAAGTTGCAGTCACAATAGTGACTGTAGCTGATCCAAATCCGAGTTAGGAGTACAACGATATCAAAGGTTGTGTCCCTTCCCCAGTTTTCCCATTTCGTCTCTCTCGTTTTTCGCGCGCATATTTTCCAAACTGCTAATCAGTACTCTCTCCGTCCCAAAAAGAATCTATGTCCACATACATCAACCTAGAAGGGGTCACATCCTCTTGTAGGTTGATTCTTTTTTGGAGGAACGAAATATGTTTTTTTTAAAAAAAATTATATGAAAGTTGTTTTAAAAAACATATTAATTATTTTTTAAAAAAATAGTTAATACTTAATTAATTATGTAATAATACGTACTTCGTTTTGCGTGTGGGGGAGAAGGTGTTCCCAGCCTAATTGTTGGGTCTAATCCTCTATGCATACCGAACTGTTGTTCACTTGTTTGAGCTATTGCTGTAGCGAAAAAGCTCACTTATGTGTAAATTAACTATGAACATAGCATACTGCAACACAGACAAAAATATCATGCCCTACTTGTCATTGAAAAACAATTGATGCGTTAGCTTATCCGTGTTTAAATTTCTAGCTCCTGGTTATTTTGCTTTGCGTTTGGATAATATAGATAAACGAATGACATGCTTTCCCCCAAATTAGACTATATCAAAGATTAATGACATCACAAGTTTCAGAAATCTAGATGATTTTTTTCCTAAAACAATGGGATATGTTCTTTCCACCATAATAGAATGGAATAGGATCTGTTTGGCACAGCTCCAGCTCCAGCTCCATCTCTCCTGAGCTAGAGCTTAGCCAAACAGTTTCAGCTCCACCTAAAATGGGAGCGGAGCTGGGTGGAGCTCTCTCACAAAATAAACTAGAGAGGTGAAGCTGGGTTTAGGCAGCTTCACAACTCCACTCCAGACCTAACTCCTGGAGCTAAATTTGGGAGTTGGAGCTCTACCAAACAGGCATGCTCGCTTCCCGAGTTTCTGAACGCTACGATATTTTTAAAAAAAACTTTTTGAATGCTTTAAATTTTAAATATACTTTTCAGCGTATAATAATTAATCCATCCATTTGTACCCTCGGATCATATATCTATTTAACATTCTAATCCATCTGGCCTAAAAGAACACGACCGAACTCATCCAACACATAAAAAATAAAATATCACATACTCCCTCCACGTGACAGGAATTATTCTTAAAAGTACATTTATTCCAACAGCCACAGGCATCACTCCACCAGCAAAGACCGGACGAAAAATGGTCCAGGAACATATTGCTGATAGTATTTATTGGTATGCTGATCACCATAGATCATACAATGCTAGCTCGATTGGGATTTGGGAAGGACGAAGAGTGTCCAAAGCTTGCAAAAGCTAGCTCCATCCATACTTGTAAGAGATCGAGTCTCTTCTCGATCACCAGGTCTCGACTCCACTGATGAAGAGAAGAAATAAAGCAGAAAATCGATGTCAGTAGAGTTATAAAGAGAAATTTATTCTGAAAGATCTTATATATAATCCCTTGCAAGCCATAGTTTAATTTCCAACACACAGAAGCAAGAAAAGCAATTTTCACCCTGTGCACCCCAGCTTTATCGATCGGCATTCGACAATGACAATAAAATACTGTTCAGAAATCAGATCAATGAATAAAGTCCCACCCAGAAGCATCTCTACAAACATGCCATGCAAACTAGACATTTGAAGAGGACATGCTTAGCATTTTCAGGCTGGCACAAAGAACATATATAGAGTGCTGATCACCTGATATCCCAATTCTTTTTTACCAATCTCACAGTAGACTGAATCCTATTTCTACAAGCAAGCCATAAAAAAAATGCTTAAACTTCAAAGAGATTGGTGCTTGCCAGATATCGGATATGTGAATAAGATCCACCACACCATGCATGAAATGATAAAGCTCTACATATGGACTTAGACACGACAGTAAAGATTAGTTCTTTTCCTAAAGCCCAGTCAATAGAATAACCAGAATTAGAGAACTTTAATAAGCTCTACATATGGCAGAGGGAAGGAAATACAAAAGCCCAACCACATATACCCAGAACCAGATATGTTTTCCATCGCCCATTGTCCATTATATATATTCACCCCACAATCCAGATATGTTTTGCTGAAGCCCTTCCAAAACTGAGAAGAACCCCAAGGATCAGATCTACTTTAATTTTAAAAGCTCAATACACACATGACTATCCCCTGACTATAGCTAGTTTGCAATAACAATATTCATTTTGCTAGTTTCACAGTGAAACCTAACCCCCAAACTCCTTAAGAGAAGGAAGATTTGCTATTTAAGCATATCATGTTTCTTTTCTTTTTCAGTAAGAAGGAAGAGTTGCTCATTTAAGCATATCATGTTTCCCCTTTTTTAGTAAGCCCAGCACAATACTAGAATCTTCTTCTAATAGAATCCATTTTGTAATAAATGGCTTTAGCATGATATAATCCCATAGGGTAGCTAGATATGGAAAATAAACACGAAGTAACAGAATAGCATAGACATAATATCTTGAAGACATTTTTTTTGGAAACTCTCATCGATATGCATAACAGAAGGGGAAATTATCGAATTAAGGAGCATTAGCCACTTAATAGATGCTAAGTTAAGCGTTTTTTTCTTTTTCATTTTACGCCCTAAACGCCAGTCCTCTATCTATTTCCTGTTTGAAGTGCCATAGCCTCCTGTTATCCTACGCGTACGACGTTTGCGATGGTGTTTAGTTAACCTCGTGCATCTGTTTTAGTGACAGATAATTGATCAAAAACTATTTAATGGCAAAGATCAAAATCTATTTCAGTGACATCTACTAATGACTTGCAAAATGTCATCTTGCAAAATATGGTTAAATAATGTATGCTGAATGTGAGCACAAGCTATGGCTTGTTCCTAGCTACTTCCTCCGTTTCACAATGTAAGTCATTTTAGCATTTCTCACATTCATATTAATATTAATGAATCTAGATAGTATATATATGTCTAGATTTATTTACATCAATATAAATATGAGAAATGTTAGAATGACTTACATTGTGAAACGGAGGGAGTAGATAAGTACTCCTCTGCAGTAAAAATAATAGTAACATCTTGCAAGCAGCAGCAGAAGTTGAGTAACAGTAATTAAGACAGTAGTAATTGAGATTAATTGTAAGAGGGCTTACATCAGTAATTAATTACTTCACGGCGGCGTGCCCGAGCCAGATCCTTCTTCTTGTAGCCGCCCTTCTTCCTCGAGCACTCGCCGAGCATCGCGCGCGCGCGCGGGCGTTGTCGGGGACGAAGCAGAGGGCCTCCTTGAGATCGGCGGCGGCGCGGTCGAGGCGGGCGGGGCAGGGGAAGAAGCAGCGGCGGTAGTAGTCCAGGTTGATCTCCGCGCGCTTCACGAGCGCGTCCCCGCGCTCCCGCGGCGGGAGGCGGCCGGCGAGGGCGCGGAGCGCGCGGCGGCGCTGCCCCAGGGCGTCCAGCGCGAACGCCCTGACGACGAGCAGCAGCGGTTTGTGGAGGCCGCCCCAGGCGCCGGCGGCGATGGCGCGGTCGGCCTCGGCGAGCGCCCCGGAGGCGACCTGGAACCGGTGGTGTGAACGCGGCGCGGCGCGGCGGATGTCATCGAGGAGCTTTCTGCAGCGCACGACGATCGGCGGGAGGGGTGGGAGTGGTTGGTCAGGGGTAGGGAGAGTGAAGGCGACGAGCACGGCCACGGCGCCGCCCGCCGCAAGTGCGCCGGCGGCGGCGGCGGCGGCGTAGCCGGTCGGGCCCATGTAGGCGCCGGCGGCCACCGCGTTGCTGGTCGACATCGCCGCCCCCATCGGCGGGAATGGTGGGATCGAGTGGTGCTCCGGTTGCAGCTTCGGTAATCGGATTTCGGAGTAGGGTTTATAGCGATTAGCGAGCGAGGACACAGAGAAGGGGAAAGTGTGTTTTTTGGTTTCAAAGTGCGGTTTATCTTGTCTTATAAACTCACAAAACCTATTTAAAAAATTCGTAATTTTCCAACGTGTGGGCCTTGGGTAGCCAGGCATGTTGGGTTGGCATGGCTGGTCCAAAGAAGGAATAAGTTTACTTTGGGCCTCTTGACTTGGAGTTCGACATTCATCCCTAGGCTGCAAAACCGGATACAACGCATTCCCCAACTTATAAAACCACGCAAACGAGGTCCATCGGTAATATTGTCTCCGGTAAAAAACTTAGCTTGTGTTTGTTTGAGTTACAAGAGCGATAAGTTCTTAGCTGGAATCTTGGAACTTACACAATTTTAAAAGTTTCTCGAAGAAATCTTACACAATATGCTTTTTTACATATAGTTTGGCAAAGTTAGCCATCAACCGAACAACTTCATATAAGTTACCATTTTACTATTTCTAGTTATTACTATCACAGTAAACTTCCGCAGCAAGACAAGAGGTTTAACCTAGTATGGCATATTGCAACTGACAAAAATATCACGTGCATATCATGTTCAACTTGTCATTAAATTTCTAACGTTATTTTGCTTTGTATTGAATAATACAGATAATTGATTGGCATGCTTTCTCCAAATTAGACTATGTTTTGACTGATCATTAGATTAAGGCTGTGTTCGGCACACCCTTTCACATCCCCCTCTCGTTTTCCGCGCGCACGCTTTTTAAATTGCTAAATGGTGCGTTTTTTTGTAAAAAGTTTTTATACGAAAGTTGCTTGAAAAAAAAATCAAATTAATCCATTTTAGAAAAAAATAGCTAATACTTAATTAATCACGCGCTAATGGACCGCTCCGTTTTCCGTGTTTACTGTTCCGGTTGGGAACACCTCATGGCGAACACACCCTAAATAACCTCACAAGTTTAAGAAGCTTCAGAATTCCAGATGTTCTGCTGTAACAAAGGGCCCCTTTATTTTCCCATAGTGAAATGGAATGTAAGAATATATATGCACGCTTCTTGAGTTTCTATGGGGGTTACGATTTTTGTATAAATTTTGTACATATAAATTTTTAAAATATTATTTTAAATCCACTTTTGAACTTATAGTAATTAATTCATTCTACCCTCAAATCATTTATATATTCAACATTCTATTCCCTTCTGTCTAAAAGAACACACCATTATCCAACACATAAAGATAAAATTTCACATGCTCCCTCCACATGACAAGAATTATTTTTAAAATAATACATACATCAGTAAAAAGACACATTTATCCCAATAGCCACATACATCAGTAAAAAGACACAACGATACAGACCAGCAAAGACAGGAACAAGTGGGCTAGGAACATATCACTGGTAATATTATTGGTTTGTTGATCAGCAGATCATACAATGTGCTAGCTCGGTTGGGATTTGGGAAGGACGAAGAGTGTCCAAAGCTGCATGCAAAAGCTAACTCCATCCATCCTTCTATCAGAGTCTTCTCACCAGGTCTTAACAAAGGATTCCACTGATGAAAAGGAAAAAATAATGCAGAAAATTAATGTCAGTGGAGTCAAGAGGAAATTATTGATTCTGAAAGATTCAAACATTCCTTACAAGCCATAATTAAGTTCCAACAAACAGAAGAAAAAAAACAATTTTCACCCTTTAGCTTAGCCCTATCTCTATGGACAACACTAGTAAAATACTCCCTCTATTTCCAATTAATCATCATATTTTTTTATTATTCCTAAATAATCATCATATTAGTATTCATTCACTAAGTATATTTATTATGCATAGAAGTATATAGACATTGGTGTAGGAATCGCAGCCATATACACATACCCCTTTGCAACCACTACAATGTTTTGGTTGGTTATTGGCTTAAAAAATAGTGAGGATGATACATATATCGAGAGTTTGTGACCGAAGTAAATATAGTATAGAAGAGTTATTGATTTTTCTTGATCATGTAATATGATGAACAATTGGGAACGGATGAAGTATCGTTCAAATTCAGGAATGATGTCCTAAAACCCAAAAGCATCTATACAAAACACGCTGGGCCATTGGACACATTTGAATCAAACTGGGCCATCCGGCCATTATTGGTCATTTAAAGAGGATGTGTTTAGCATGCATTTGCAGGATGACATGCACGTACAAAGAACATAGAGAGCTGACCCCCAAGTCTTTTTACTTTACCAATTGCACAGTAGACTAGCTGAATCCTATCTTCGCAAACAAAACCATTTTTAACTTTTGAAGCCACTTTGAAGACCCCAAGGATCAGATTGAAAAAAGAGAGAAAAACCCACACGAGATTGATATATGTGTTTTATTCTTCAAAGCTGGTCAGTACATAAACTACTACCCCCCTGACCATATATATAGTATGCAAATCCATTTTAGACAAAAGAACAATAAAATGTTTATTTTCCTACTAGTTTCAAACCCCGAATTCTTTGGATCGAGTAAGCTCCTTCCTCAGTTCTTCTTGCTTTATCAATTCCTCCAAGAGATCGACATGACTTGTCTGTTGACTGTTGCCAAGAGTCAGGTCGCCCGTGTAGGTCAAAAAGGCTAGGAAGCTATGCTACACCTTGATCTTAATCACGGAGGGCAAGATTAATTAATGGTTGGAAATTATGTGTGCCCGGTGTTTATTAGTGGGTAAACACTAGAAAAATTGGGGAAAGTGGTGCGCTTTTTGACAGCTTTTTTTTATTGATAATAGATTAAACCGGACTTACATCTAAAGAGGCTTCTGGGAGTAATTAACCTTGCGTCTCTAGTATTAATAAGCAGGTTTCAAAATTCCCAAAAGGTTTTATTGTACACTCGATATAATATTATTTCGACCGAAATTTTTTAAAAGTTTTTATTTTTTGAATTTGACAATATTTGTTTAAATTTGACCAAATTTTATTTTTAAAAATCAAATAACTCGGACCGAAATAACCGACACTTCCATATTGGTACCCGATACAAATGCCAAAAACGACATATTGAACCCTGGTATTAAGTGGCAGATAATTAATTAGAATATATATTTCATGGCAAATAGCATTATTTCCCCCACAAAATGTTTATAACTTGTTAACATACTGTAATATAATATCTTCCGTGAAAGAAAAGAAAGAAACCATAAATATGCTTGTAATTAATTAATTAAGCAGAAGCAAGCAGCAGCGGAGAAGAGATAAGTTCAAAACAGTACTACTAGTATTAGAAAGAGAAATTTACTTATTAGAAAGACCCTATCATTCCTCACAACCCATAAGTTCCAACAAACAGAACCAAGAAAAACAATTTTCACCATGTTACCCTCTGCCTCTATATATCAACAAACCCTAATAAAATAGTACTGTTCAAATTCAGCAGGAATAATGTCCCACCCGGATTCGGATCAGTGACTGCAACTTAAGCAGTAGTAGTGCATGTCATTGGATGCAAATCGGATGGTCAGATTACATGCTTTACTGCACACAGTACTGTAGTAAAAATACTGTAGCACGAAATACTGTAGCCATTACTACTGTAGCGTTCGATCTGAACCGTTGATCGTAAAAATGGATGGCCAAAATTATGTGTAGTTTTATCTTGCAGTTACAGGTGTAACTGCACCCTATCTCAATTCGTCCCACCCATAAGCATCTCCACCCCCAAAAAGCTCATCAGGATATATAGACTGAACCCTATACCGGTCCGTAAGCAACCCCAAAAAAATGCACCTTCAAATTAAGATATTGGTGCTCGCGAAATACTCCACCAAATTAATATGTGAAGATCCACTACGTACACCATGAAAGAACATAACTCTATGTGGACTTTTAGTAGAAAGGATAAAGGTCTATGCATGGAATTAATTAGTAGAGTAAAGATAATTAGTTTCCCCCACCGTACCCCCACCCCTAAAGCACAGCAAATTAAATAGAATCAATAGAATAAAAACTATACTGACTAAGAAATAACCACTACTCTTCTCATTTATCTGTTCATGGCAGCTCTAAAAGAGGTAATAGAAATATTATTTTCAATGGATCAAGAGCACAGCCACAGTTCAGACCAAAATATTACGGAGTACTCATGTTTAATGACCCACTTTCCATGCACTGTATATACCCCAACCAAAAACATTATTTAACTTGCTGTCCTTTTCAAAACTAAGCTGATCCCTGCTGGGATTAGATTGAAAATAGTGTAAAATTTCAGAATAGTGCTACTATTATATCAAAACTATCACTTTACTGTAACTTTAGCTGGGAGTTTCATAAGACTACAAAAGTGGATAATGATTTTATCATAAAACTGTAAACTTTATTGAACTATTAGGCTGGGTCCACCTATTTCGCACACATATAATAGCTTCATTGTTACATATATTGGGCTCACTCATCAAACACATACACATGTAGGGATAAAAGTTTAAATAGTAATAAAATTTATTGCTATTGTTGCAGCTTTATGAAATACTACTATCTAGCTAAAGTTATAGGCTCATAGCAAAGTGATCGATAGTGGTAGGATATTTGCAATCCAAGCAGATAGTACGTCCTGCAATCCAAGCATGCAGTACTAGAAGCTCAAAACAAACAGCTACTCCCTCCGTTTCACAATGTAAGTCATTCTAGTATTTTCCCCATTTATATTAATGTTAATGGATCGGGTGTGTTTGGTTGCAAGCCACACTTTGCCACAGTTTGCCACGCCTAAGGTTAGTCAAATTTGACAGGTGTTTGGTTGTAGCCACAGTTGTGGCAAGATTCCCCTCCAACAAATTAGGTCCCACATGTCAATGGCTCAAAAAAGTGTGGCAAGATTCTCTTAGGCTTAGTAAGTTGTGGCTAACAATTTGATCACCTCACCTTAGGCAAGGTGTGGCAACTTTTGTTGGCAAGTAATGGTAAAGTGTGGCTGGGAACCAAACAGCCCCTAGACATATATATCTATATAGATTCATTAACATCAATATGAATGGGGAAAATGCTGGAATGACTAACATTGTGAAACAGAGGAAGTAGTATAACTGAG